AGTTTTACAGGAATGCTTGTAAAGCCCTTATATGACAGTTCCCTCTCTAGCTCCCAACTTGCCCCTGATGCCTGCAACACAAACTCCAGGTTCTTCAGTCCAGTACCTGTGAGGTTTCAGCCAGCATCGTCCCTGGCTGTGCACATGGTGCTTGCAGCTGCTGCTGCGCTTGTGATGTGCCATGCTGAGTCACTCAGTCGTGTCTGACTTTTTGTGACCCCATGGACTGCAGCCCACCAGAAACCTCTGTCCGTGGGGATTCTCCAGGCAAGAATACTGCCCTGGGTTACCATCCCCTCCTCCAGGGGATCTTCCCAACCCAGGGATTGAACCCAGGTCTCCTGCATTGCAGGCATATTCTTTACTGTCTGAACCACCAAGAAAGCTCAAGAATTCTGATGTGGGTAGCTGTGGTGCTTAGTCATGTCCAACTCTTTGTGACCCCAGGGACTGTAGCCCACCGGGCTCCTCTGTGCATGGGATTCTTCAGGCAAGAATTCTGGAGTGGGTAGTCATTCCCTTCTCCAGGGGATCTTGCCAACCCAGGGATCAAACCTGCATCTCTTGCATTGACAGGCAGGTTCTTTACAACTGAGCCACCAGGGATGTTTCTTCACCTTGAAAGAAGAATGGTTCTTTAGGCTGTTTGCAGTCTTGGCCTTTGCCCCCACTTCACTGCGCCTGGAACTGCATTCATGCTTCCCAAAGGCGGGCTAACTCTTTTGTCCACGACTGAGCTCAGATGTTTCCTCCAGGCAAACTTTCCAATTCTGCACCTCTCCCCCCACCCCAGTTGGGTCATGTGCCCCTTCTGACCCCTTGGAGTGCCTCCTCATTGCACTTGTGACCCTACTTTGTAGCTGCCTATTTGTTAGTTGGCCTCCCGTAGATTTGTCTCTCTAATATGGTGGCCACCAGCCATGCATCAGTATTGAGCTTTTGAAATGGGATCAGTCCAGATTAAGATGTAAGGTGGCAGCTGCTAGTAGATACTGTTTTGAGAATGGCAGGTGGTGGCCTTGAGTCTGATACAGTTCAGAAAATACAAGTTCTCAGTGATGGAAGAGTGTGTCTGAAACCACATCTACAATGATTACCCAGCCCCATTAACCAAAAATATGTATTTTTTTGCTGCACTGGGTTTTTCTTGCTGCACAGGCTTTCTCTAGTTGCAGCAAGTGGGGGCTCCTCATTGCGGCAGCTTCTCTGGTTGTGGAGCACAGGCTTCAAGAGTTAGTTTCGGTTCGTGGGCTTAACTGCTCCATTTAGGATCTTTCTGGACCAGGGATCGAAACTGTGTCTCCTGCATTGGCAGCTAGGTTCCTATCGACTGTGCCAGCAGGGAAGTCCTCCAGCTCCATTGTTGATGCCCGAGCCACGGTGACTCCATTTTTATTTTAAATATTCTTTTCTTTACTGGTTATAGAAGATGTATGAATACAATGTATATTTGACAGGCCATAAGACAGGCTGTTCTGGTCAGCATAAAGTTCAAGACAGGTCATGTATCAGCCCGAAAGACTTCCCCATACATCAACAACTGAAAATTTCTTCTATCATGATCTACATGTCAATATAGAAAAGTAATATTAAAAGGAAAAACAAAGAATGTCAAACAGTGCATGACAGATGAGGAAACTGAGTCACCACATGCTTTTCAGATTTGCCTAGAGAAGGGAATTCCCTGGCCGTTCAGTGGTTAGGACTTAGTGCTTTCACTGCGTGGACCTGGGTTTAATCCCTGGTGTTGGACCACTAAGATCTCACAAGCCAAGCAGCCTGGAGTGGAGGGGTTGGGAGATTTGCCTGGAGAAACTTGAGGTCTGATTGATTTGAGACCAGAATTGGAATCCAGCTGTTTCTAACCTCCTCATTACAATCTGATCTTTGCCAGGAAACACGGAATGCCCAATCCTTCAAGACAGTGGGTACTGAGGCAAGAAGGCAGCCCTGTGTAATTTCCAGCGCTCTCCGTGGGGATGGGGGGGTGGAGCTTGAAAGCCCAACCTTCTGGTTTTTCCTAGCCAGCACCCAGCTAGCCTTGAGGGCTGTGTCACATTCGGGCAGCTCTTTCCCTAACTGTCTTTCGGCTGCACCCCTCTAACTCTCTGGGCCCACAGGACACGTTCCTGAAATTGAAGGTCTGGGGATGAGAAACTGTAAAGACCTCCCAGATTTAGGATGTAACCCTGGCTCCAGCACCTGCTTGCTGTGGGACCATCAGCCTCTCACTTAAACTCCTTGCGCGTCAGTTCCCTCATCTGTAAAATTCTAGGGCTGAATCTGACACCTTCTTGTTCAAGTTCTCTTTTCGGCATATATCTGCTTCTTTAGTGACGCTGACTCCTCGTTGTTCAATTTGTCTCTTGATTGTCATCCCTACCTGCATCTCCTAGGTGCTGGGGCAGGGGTGCCTGGGAAGATGTCAATATTTTGGTGTCTGTCGCCCCCAGGAGGCTGAGGAGAGCTCCTTGTTGCAGCAGGTGTCCAGTGCAGATAACATGGGTCTCCTCTTAAGGTAGAGGAAGGCAGGGACTACCTAGGTCCGGTTGGCTCGTGCTGTTACCCCCACAAGCTGTATCTAGGAGCCATTTGTGTGTTGAACAACACACAACAGATTAGTGTTGAACGAAATGACTCAGCTTCAAGCCAACGGAACAAAAGGTGCTTGGAACCCTTCCTTTGAGGGGTGTGTTTCCGGGCGGAAGGCTTTCATGTGAACCCCACCCCTTTCCTCTGTGGTCGGAGCCCGTGTGTCCCCATTTAGGGCTCCTAGGGTGGGGGTTAATGTTTCCGCCCCCTGAACTCCGGATCCGGCTTTCGGGAGGCCGTTCCTCATAACAGAAGGACAGAAAGGGTCACGCCCGGAGTAAGGGCCCTGGAGCACGAGGCCAGGTCACCAAGACCGGACCTGCTGATCCACTGAGGGGACGATTGGGCCGAGCCTCTTGGGAACAGAGAAGAGGTGAACACCAGGCAGGTCTTGGGGCGGGGGGCGGGGGGGCTTTGGAAAGAGATGGTGGGAAAGTGATAGAGTCGATCGAATACAAACTCTGGAGGTGAGAGACTTCATTGGCGGCCGCGGTGGGGATGGCGGGGGTGGGGGGCAATGGAAACACGTAGTTGATGTCACAGGAGCTGCATGAAAGGACGAGACCTTGGAGCTGGAGAGAAAGATACTCCAAGGATATTAAACCGTCTGCTTTGCCCCGTCGCTCTGTCCCATCGATACCTGCTCGTTGACTGGAAGGGCAGAGTACACCCACCCACACAGATACCGTGAGTGGGGAAGCCCAGTGACACAGTCCCACCCAGCACGCGGCCGTCCCGAATGCCCGCGGGCTTCCAGGAACGCGGCCTGTCTCAAGGCCCAGGCCCTCGCCCATCCGGTGCTTCATTTGTGAAGCTTGTGGCAAGGCCTTCAAAAGACCCCGCTGTCTCTGCCCACCCCGTCTCTCCCACCAGGCTTCCTACTGCTGTTCCTGCTGCTCCCGGCAGGTCAGCCTTACCAGGGAGCCGGCTCAGCACGTCCTGGTGCCTCACGGCAGACCGGGTCTCCTGCTAATGTGGGCACAAAAAGGGAAAGACACAGTGAGTCGCGCAGGCGTGTCTGACTCTATGCGACTCCATGGACTGTAGTTCATGGGATTCACCAGGCCAGAGTACTGGAGTGGGTAGCTGTTCCCATCGCCAAGGGATCTTCCCAACTCAGGGATCGAACACAGGTCTTCTGCATTGCAGACGGATTCTTTACCAACTGAGCCACCAGGGAAGCCCTTGGTAGATGCAGAGGGAGGGAAGGGCACAGCACGCATACCGTTAGGGGGCCACGTCCTGGAATCCTGCCGCAGGCCGCCAGCGTCCAGCTCGAGGGCTGTCAGTTGCAGAGCTGGGCCCTGTCCTCTCTGAAGGACAAGGCAGCACCCTTTTCTGTGCTGGCTCTTTCTAACACTGAATGATCTTCAGCCTTCGGGTGTGCTGCGAGTCCGTGGGTGGCAGGGGAAGCAGGAGACAGTATCATGAAAGATGGATTCACCTCCCAGGGCGATTTCTGGTCTCCTTGGCTCAGATTGCAAATAATCTGCCTGCAGTGCAGGAGATCCCTGGGTCAGGAAGATCCCCAGGATTAGGGAATGGCAACCCGCTCCAGTTTTCTTGCCTGGAGAATGCGCATGGACAGAGGAGCCTGGGCGGGGGGGGGGGGCTACAGTCCATAGGGTCAAAGAGTTGGACACGACTGAGCGACTAACCCAACACTTTCGCCTTTTGTAGAATGACTGGTTCCTTCTCCAGCCTAGAAGGATAAAGTGACTTTTAAAGGAAAGTCATAACTTTTCGGACAAAAGCTATCTTTTTTGTCTTCCCTCCCTCCGCATCTACCGCGTCTCCAAATAGTGACTTTATACTGGCCGGGTATTTTCTTTTTTTTAACCCTCCGATGGATACTGGCCGGGTATTTTCTTTTTTTTAACCCTCCGATGGCAGAGGTGAGGCGCTCAGGCACCCGGAACCGTGGTTCGTGGGTGTTTTGTTTCCCGCCGAGGCAAATGCCTCGGGCCCCGCCCGGTCGCGATGGCGGCGGGAGCCGGAAGAGGGCTTCGGCCTCTCACAGTCCATCTTCGCCACGCCGCAGACAGACGTCCTGGGGCCGCCCCTCGGGCCGCTTCCCGCCGCGCAGGGACCCGAGAGGCTCCCGCACCGCCCGCCGGCGCCGGGAGGCTGGGCCCGAGCTCCGCGCGGCCGGAGAGGCCCAAGCAGCGCGGTGCGTCCGCTGGGGCGCCCGCTCAGACGCAGGTGCGCGGGGCGGAGCGGCTCGGAGCTGGTGGGTTCCGCGGAAAGAGCTAATTTAGAGGCTCCCGCTCGTGTCCATCCCTCAGGTTCCCAGAGGGCTCCTCGACCCCGAGCCTCTCCGTGGGCCATGGGCCCTCCTTCCCTAGGGTGGCCCCCGCCCCGGGGCCTCTGCCCACCTCGGTAGGCCCGTCACCCGCTCATCGTCGGGGATGGTGTTGGCCTTGCGTGGGCGGAGCCCAGGCGCCCCTCTTGTTCCCGTCCCTCCCCGAGAGCTCCCCGCACCGCCGGAGCCACAGCACCTCCTGTTCGGAGGTCTTCAAGCACCCCAGCGAGGATTAGGAGGCGTCGCTTCACGCACCGGCCCGCTGTGTCCCAGTGGTCTCAGGAGGCCGGGCGACTGGCCCAGCACATCCAAGACCGCTCGGCTGGAAGGGATTTCCTGGACCGTGGAGAGGCCGCAGGGGCTCCGTAGAGGCTCCCGTTTCTGGTGCAGAAAGCAGAGCGCGGGGTCTGGGCCTCCTCCTTACTTGCCCTGTGACCTGAGGCTGCCTCGCTGGGCCTGTTTCCTCCTCCTGAAATTACTTGTGACCTCCAGCCAACCTGCCAAGCGGGGAGAAGCAGGAGTCTCTTGTTGGACCCCTGACTCTCCCACAGCCTCTCTTCATAGCCTGGGATCCATCACCACCCATCCTGGACTCAGTTTTTCCATCTGTGAGAGGGTACAGAATAAAGCAGCCTGATCAGGTGAGCTGCAAACTCACCTAATATGAAGGTAGCACACACTGTTCCATCACTTTTTTTTTTTCCCCCTTCGACCAAGCGGAACAGCTAGCAGGATCTTAGTTCTCCAGCCAGGGATGGAAACTGTGCCTTTGGTAGTTAAAGCCAGGAGTTCTAAGCACTGGACCGCCAGAGAGTTACCTTCATCACTTCTTTTTAGTAACTCATGGTGCCTGCTGAGGCAGGTGAAAACAAATGTTCGTCAGTTTGAGTCCTTTTTAAATTGCAGTGGTAGGGCTGGAACCCAACCGAGGTGGGAACCTTTCTTTTGTGGGTGGGGGTTGTAGGCTGAAGTGCTTTCCTAGGAGTATGTCCCTCGGTCGAGTTGGGGCTGGGCGATGCCACGTGTAGGCTGGGCCACCTCAAGAAGGGCCTCGAATCCCAGGCGGAGGAACCTGAGTGTCTCGGGCTGAGAGAAGGTTTCATGCATATGACCTAGCTATGAGAAGAGTATCAGGCCAGGGTGGGAGGGGTTCTGGGGGCCAGCCTACCAAGGAGAAGGCTGGTGCAAGGGCCCAGGTCGGGGGAGGGAGCCAGGGCTGGGGCGCCTGCCTGGCTTTAGGAAGTGAGGTGGGGGGACGGATGGGGAACTTTGGGCAGATGTAGGGCCTCACCGTGACCCTGTCCCAGGAGAGAAGCAGGGCATTTTGTTTGGCTCGGGGAGATGAGCTTTACCTTTCGATAGGGTGACTGAATTCCATTCATTCGATCATTTAACCAGTATTGAATCCAGCCGCTCTCTGCTCCCCAGAACTTTGGTAGAGTCTGAGGATAGACTTGCCCAGGACGGAATATGAAAGGCAGGCAGGAAAACAGCAAATCTGTTAAGGAGCAAGACCCTCACAGAGCGTAACCAGAGATGCGGAGGAGATGGCCCGAGGGGCAGGGGGGGGGCCTCCCCTCCCCTCGCTGACCTCTGATATCACCTGCAGTGCTACAGTGGTGAAGGGTTACTTGAGTTCCCACCTGGCTAGAAAGGATGTGTCCTTGTGAGAGGTTGGGAGGAACATTCCAGAGAGAGGAGCAGCACACACAAGGCCCAGGAGGTGGGAGAGGTTGGCAAGGGGGCACTGTGGTGCTGGGGGCCAGTCCACACAGGGCTGGGGCGCTTCTGGGGTTTAGTCTAAAGTGCAGCAAGGAGGGTTTGGGGTCAGGGAGTGACATGTTTTGGCAGGTTTACAAAATTGCTGCCGTGTTGCCATAGGGAAAAGGGGCCAGAGGAGGCAGAGGGGTGGGAGGGGAGGCTGTTACCATGGCAGCAGTGGGCTGGGGACAAGCCTGAGGTGCCCTAGGAAAGTGGCCATGACCTCTGACTCGGGGGTCAGGTAGAGACAGTGCCATCCCGGCTCCCCACCTGAGGATGCAGGGCCTTCAGCCGATCACGTGACCTCTCTGAGCTTCGGTTTCCTCGTCTATAAGGTTGGGATCCTCAAGACACTTCCTGTCTGGGCTCTGAGGACTCGGTGTATCTAACAACCACGACCGCTGGCACCATGTTGTTCAGTTGCTCTGTCGTATCTGACTCCGTAACCCCGTGGACTGCAGCACGCCAGGCCTCCCTGTCCTTCACCGACTCCCGGAGTTTGCGCAAAGTCATGTCCATTGAGTCAGTGATGCCATTCAACCATCTCATCCTCTGTTGTCCCCTTCTCCTGCCCTCAGTCTTTCCCAGCATCAGTGTGTTTTCCAGTGAGTCAGTTCTTCACGTCAGGTGGCCAAAGGATTGGAGCTTCACCATCAGTCCTTCCAATGAATATTCAGGACTGATTTCCTTTAGGATGGACTGGTTGGCTCTCCTTGCAGTCCACAGGACTCTCACCATAGGAAAGGCCCAATAAATGTTATTGTTACTGTTTCCGGAGATGGGTGTGGTTCTCAAGGAGGAAGCTAGTTTTCTGGATCTGAAACTTAAGAAAGGGATCTGGGGGAGAGATTCATAGGGGTGTCTGTACACAGACAGGATCTGTGTTGTTTGGCCAAGCCTGTTGTCACAGCTGGGTGGGAGGTTTGGGTGGGGTGGTACTTCCAGCATCTAAAGGGGTGGAGGCCAGGGATGCTGGTCAACATCCCACAGTGCACAGGACGAGCCCACAGCAAAGACTGGCTCAGCCCCCAGAGGTCAGCAGCGCCGAAGCTGAGAGGCCTGGTGTAGACAGGGGGGTGTTGGCCCCTTTAAGGCAAGCACAGGGTCTCGGTGCACCAGCTTCCACCTGTTTCCCCACCGCCTGCCAGGAAGCCAGAGGAGGAAGAGCCTGCCCGACCAATGATGTGCAGTAGGGCACCACACTCTAAAAACAGAAAAGGGACCGCTGAGGTTAATTTTAAGGGCTCATTTAATACTTAACCCAGTCAGTCTACCCAGAATACCCTTTCTCAGTGGAATCCACACAGACATCACTGACGACGTGCTTTACACTCTTCATACTCAGCCTTCAGAATCTGAGGGGCGTCTGCATCACAGCCCATCTCAGGTCAGCCTGGACACGTGCCAAGTGCTTGAGAGCCACGTGTGTCCAGTGGCTGCCCTTCAGGACTGTATAATTCTGGAGGATCTTTGTTTTTCTAATAAAACTTTTATTGAAAAAATTAAGACAAACACCAAAGTTATTCTCCAAATCACTTAAGATATAGTGATGCTATACAGTAGGCCCTTGTTGGTTATCCATTTGAAATACAGCAGTGTGAACATGTCCATCCTAAACTCTGTCCTTCCCTCCCCATCCTCTTCCACCTCCAGAACCATAAGTGCCTTCTCTTAAGTTGGTGAGTCTGTTTATTTTCTTTTTTTGGGGAGTTGCATCGAGTTTTAATTGTGGCATGTGGGATCTAGTTCCCTGACCAGGGATTGAACCCCGGCCCTCTGCATTGGGAGTCTTAGTCACTGGACCACCAGGAAAGTCCCTGTGAGTCTGCCTCTGTCTTGTACGAAAGTTCATCTGTATTATATCTTTTAAGATTCTGCATATAAGGGATGTCATACAATGTTTCTGCTTCTCTGACCACTCAGAGAATGGTCAGACAGTGACATCTATGACAATCTCTAAAGCCATCCATATTGCTGCAAAAGACATTATTTTGTTCTTTTTGATGGTGGAGTAATAGTTCGTTGTATCTATGCCTGACATCTTTATTCATTCATTTGTTGATGCATGTTTAGGCTGCTTCCATGTCTCCTCTATTTTAAACACGGCTGCAGGAGAAGATCTTTAATTTAGCCTGATACCACAATTGTTTGGGCACTTGCAGGTTTCTTGAAAGTTTTCTGAAGAATGTTTTCTTAGTTCCAGCTTACTGTTGCCCCACCTAGAGATTTTTTTCTATTCCTGGGGATTTGTGTGTGCATTTTCTGGCATTTAGATTATTGCCCAGTAAAATATATCTTGCGATCCAAACCAAATATAACTGAACCCTCTGTGGCTCGCGGGTCTCCAGTTTGCAACTGGCTGAGTGTGGTTCAGGAGCTGTACTGCAAGGTGGGCAGCCACTAGCCACCTGTCTATTTAAAGAGAAAGAGAAACGTTTAAAAGTCAGGTCCTTAACCACGAGCCACCTTTCAGATATGCAGCAGTCCCCGGTGGCTAGCGGCAGTTCCCCTGCACAGAGCGCAGGTCGGGGGATTTTTCCATCATTGCAGAAAGTTCTTGTTAGCAGTTCTCTCAGAGGCAGCTCTGGCCCAACCCGGGTCTTTGGTCGGGGCGCGAACTTAACGCCGGTTCTCTCCGCTATGTACCCCCGGCTGCGCCCGGCGTTCGCTCCCGGATCACCGCGCAGCCAGAGGTCGAGCTGCGGGCGCGCGGAGTGCGGCCTTGCGAGCGGCTCCCGGCGCTGCCCTCCGGGTTCCAACTCACGTGCTCCGCCTGCGCCCGCCTTGCACCACTGCGGCCACCTGGCGGCCCGGCGCCGACCCCCGCTCTAGGTTCCTGGTTGGCCTGGCTGCCCTGCCATCCTCCGGTCCTCGGTCCACCCCGCCGCCCCCCATGAGATGCCCTATCCCTCCCCATCTGGGGACTCTGGTCCTCCCTGGTCCTCGCCCCCCTCCCCATGAGAAGCCCACCCCCCCCCCATCTCCCCATCTGGGGACTCTGGTCCTGCCCCCCCCGCCCCCCATGAGAAGCCCACCACTCCCCATCTGGCAGACTTTGGGCCTCTCTGGGCCTCGGTTTCCCCGTTTTGCGGGCGGGAGGATCCCGGCGGGGACACGGCGGCGCCCAGCCTGGCCTCTGGACCTGGGACCTGCACCAGCCCCGCGGGCAGAAACGTCGGTACTCCCGCCCTCGGCCTCGCGGGGCAGCGGACGCAGGAGGGATGGCCGGGGTGAGGGGATGGCCTGGGCGCCCCCGCTCGGGCGGGGCTTCGGCAGACGCAGCCCCGCCCACCCTCATCTACCCTCCGACCTCGGTCCCAGGCCCCAAGCAGCTCCCGGCGCGGGCGGAAGGGGAGCGGGCAGTCGCTGCGGTTTCTGCGCCCTGGCCCCTTCGCCGCTCCCGACCCCTGGAAGCTCAAGAGCGGCGGAACCTTCGCTGCGGCGCGCGCTTCCGGCCGGCGCCGTTTCCCAGGGACGCCGCCGCCCCTCGCGCCCCGCGCCCCCCGCGCCCGCGTCCCCGGCGCCGCCGGCCCGGAGGTTCCCGAAGCCTCGGCCCCGCCGCCGCCGGCCCTCGCGAGGGGAAGCCCGGGCCGCTCGGGACCTCGGCCCGCTCCTCCGGACCCGAGAGGCCGCTGCACCGGGTACAGGGGCCGGGATGGAGGGAGGAGCCGGGCCGGGCCGGTGGTAACTGGGGTGGGGGTGGGGCCGGCCACGGCGGGGACCGAGGGGCAGGGGCAGCGCGGGAAGCAGAGCGGGGCGGCGGCGCTGAGCCGGGCACAGCGCGGGGAGGGGTGGGGGAATAAAGGTGCTGCATCCCGCGGAAGGTGGGGGGGGGTGCTTGGGAGGGGGCTCCGGGGCCCCGGCAGCTATGGAGAGGGTCGGGACGATGTCAGCGGCCTATGCGTAAGGGCCGGGCTAGAGAAGGGCCGGTCCAGGGGGAGGTGGGGATGTAGCAGGTGTGAAAGTTCACAAGCCGACGCCTGCATAGAACGGTGGCATCCTAGCGATGCGTACCTTAAATTCGGAGGTTAGGTGATGGAATGAAAGTCTCTGAGTCGTCTCCGACTCTATGCGACCTCAGGGACTGTAGCCCACCAGGCTCCGCTGTCCATAGGGTTCTGCAGGCCAGAAAACCGGAGTGGGTAGCCGTTCCCTCCTCCAGGGGCTCTTCCCACCGCAGGGGTGGAGCCCAGGCCCCCACGTTGCAGGCGGATTCTTTACAGACTGAGCCAGCAGGGAAGCCCCTAGGCAGTGGAGGGGTATGTTGAATCCTTAAGGTGCCAAGTGCAGGAACCGGTTAGAGGAGCCCCGGGCGGAAAAGTGGGGAGCTGGATCAGTGGGGCTCTGGGGACGCACCTCGGGAGGAGATTAAGAGCAGCCACAGACGCGTCCCGGTTCGGGAAGCCTTCCAGGGAGCGAGTGGGCATGGAGGTCTAGGAGAGTCGAAGCCAAGGAGAGGCCGCTGCGCTGGTCCGGGGTCGGGGGTCGGGGGTGAGGAGAGGATGCAACCTAAGTTGTGGCCGAGGAAGCGACCCGTTAGAGAAATTCTGGGGGCAAGAATCCTGGCTAGACTTGGAAGAAACCAAGAAGATGTAAAGAACGAAATAGGTTTGGGGTTTGATTGGCTGTCGAGGAGTGAGGGAGGAGGGAAGCAGGAGTGAGAAGAGGAGGATGGAAGAGGCCGGGTGATGCCCTCAGGCCGCCCTGGGGGAGGAGAGGACGACTCGCGAGGAAAGGCAGGTGGGGCCTCTGAGCTGCTGGACTTAGCCAGAGAAGCCGTTGAGGCTGCCTGGTGCGGGCCGAGCAACCCGGCCTGGAGGCAGCCTTCTTTCCCGTCAGGGAGGAGGTCAGTGGGACAGAGGGCCGCGAGCGCTGAGACGGCGGGGACACTGTCCCCGGGCAGCGGCCGTGTTGACCTGTCTCCCCTCCGCCGCTCCCAGCTGCCGCTCCGGATGCTGCTGTTGCCGCCGCGGCCCCCCCACCCTCGGGCCTCCTCTCCCGAGGCCATGGACCCGCCGCCCCCCAAGGCGCCCCCTTTCCCCCCGGCGGAGGGCCCTGCGTCCACTGCGTCCTCGGCGGCGGGGCCCCGGCCCCCGCGGCTGGGCCGCCACCTGCTCATCGACGCCAACGGGGTCCCCTACACGTACACGGCGCCGCTGGAGGAGGAGCCGCGCGGCCCGGCCCCGCGAGAGGCGCCTCCCGGAGAGCCCGGGCCGCGCAAGGGCTACAGCTGCCCCGAGTGCGCCCGCGTCTTCGCCAGCCCCCTGCGGCTGCAGAGCCACCGCGTGTCGCACTCGGACCTCAAGCCCTTCACGTGCGGCGCCTGTGGCAAGGCCTTCAAGCGCTCCAGCCACCTGTCGAGGCACCGTGCCACGCACCGCGCCCGCGCTGGCCCGCCGCACGCCTGCCCGCTCTGCCCGCGTCGCTTCCAGGACGCCGCGGAGCTGGCTCAGCACGTGCGGCTGCACTGAGCCGGCGGGCGGCCCCGGCCCGGCGCCCTGCGTGCCGCTCCCGGGTGGTGAGCGCCTGCCGTCTGCGCGGAAGGGTCGACGACAGGCCGCGGCAGCGGCCCGGTTCGCTCCCGTGTCTCCCCTCGCACCCGCCACCCTCACCCTCTCTCAATAAACATTCCGCACTTCACTTCAGGGCTCTTATTTGCGGGCTGGGTCGGGCGCGGGTGGTGACGCCGGACCGTGAGCACGTGGGAACCGCCGTCCAGGCGCGCGTTTCCGGCCGGAGCCGTTTCCCGGCGGCCCGGGCGCCCCGCCCCCACTGCCCTGCCCTGGACCCTCTTCTCCGTCCCCCGGTCCTCTCCGCCCCTCCTCGGCGCCGCCAGCACCCGAGGGACGCCCTGAACGCCCCGGCCCGCCGCCGCCTGCACCCACGCGGGGAACCCGGGGCCGATCAGGAGCCGCCCGGACCCGAGAGGCTGCTGCACCGGGTACGGGGGCCGGGAGGCGGGCGGGAGCCGGAGCGGGCCGCGGCGCGGGGCGGGGCCGGGCGTGCGATGCCCCGAGCGCGGGGCGGGGCAGAGAGGCCGGGGCCGGGGCCCGTGCCGGGGCCGGGGCGGAGGCCTGCGGAGCGGGGGCACGCTGCCGGGAGTGGAGGCGGGTGGGCGTGCCCCGGACGGAACGCGCTGGGGGCGGGGGAGGACACAGGGCTCCCGACGCGGCCGCCCACCCGAGAGGGCGCCCGGAGCGGGCACTGACCCCCCACGGCCGGGTCAGCGGCCTGATGGGTGGGCCCTGCAGGCGACTTGTGAGCTGAGGAGGGCAGACAGCCACAAAGAGACCCCGCGCCTGCGGTCGGCGGTGGGAACGAAGGGAGAGGTGTCTCGAGGAGGGGGCGCCTGGGAGCCTCAGAGGGTCACGGAGTCAGGGTAGCGCTGAAGAAGATGCAGCGGTCCGGAGCAGGGCACGCAGAGCGGGAAGGACGGAGCCCGTGGGGCCGAGCTTCCCGCCTCCGCGTGACCTCCTCGTCCTGTCTCCCACCCCCCAGGCCTCAGCCACCCATCCGGATGCTGGTGCTGCCGGCCCCCGGCCCCCGGCCCCTGGCGTTTCACTCCGCTGAGGCCATGCAGGCCCCTCCCCCTGGGACAGGCGGGTCCCCAGAACCCGGACCTTCCTGCTCCACAGGATGTCCCCAGACCTCGCCCTCTTCTTCCAGGCCCAACCACTACCTGCTCATAGACACCCAGGGTGTCCCGTACACCGTACTGGTGGACGAGGAGTCGCAGAGGGAGACCGGGCCCGATGGGGCGTCGGCCCAGAAAAAATGCTACAGCTGCCCCGTGTGCTCCCGGGTCTTCGAGTACATGTCCTACCTGCAGCGACACAGCATCACCCACTCAGAGGTGAAGCCCTTTGAGTGCGACACCTGCGGGAAGGCATTCAAGCGGGCCAGCCATCTGGCGCGCCACCACTCCATTCACCGGGCAGGCGGCGGGCGGCCCCACGGCTGCCCGCTCTGCCCTCGCCGCTTCCGAGAGGCGGGCGAGTTGGCCCAGCACAGCCGGGTCCACTCTGGGGAGCGCCCCTACCAGTGCCCGCATTGCCCGCGCCGGTTCATGGAGCAGAACACGCTGCAGAAGCACACGCGGTGGAAGCACCCCTGAGCCAGGCTGCGCCCCCCCCCCCCCCCCCCGCCCAGGTACCGTGGGATTCTGGGGGGGGAGGGTGTGTGCACATGGACACCTGTCGTCCCCAGACAGCCGGCGAGCACCAGGGGGCCCTGGACACAAGTACAGACCCACCTCCGCGGGGAGGCCGACTCCGGGCTTAAGGAGAAGCCCTGCAGTCATCTCCGGGTGTTTGGGAGATAAGATGGGAACAAGACCCCCACGTTTCCTGAATGGAACCCTCTAACCTCAGAGACACCAGCGATTCCACGACTGAGCCCTGACTGCTGGGGTTGGGCCAGGTGGGGGCAAGAGTGCCGTGTGTTACCGTTCTCGGGCCTGAAAACTGTGCCTGCGGGCCACCAGGAATCTGCACTGCTTTCCTGAGACCCGCCTTCCCCCGCCCCCACAATGTGCGCTGCTGGGGGAAAGGGCCCCACACTCGCCTCCCACTCTCCAGCCAGAGGTGGAGTCTGGACACTCAATAAACACGTGTTCCCACTTTGAGCACGTGAGGTCGGTTCTGGGACTCTCTCTGCCCACTGCCTGGCCGGGAGACTTTGCAAGTGCCTGGCCCACCTGGCTGGGGAATGGGAAGGTTGGCCTGCCCTGGGGTTCATCCGAGCTTGGCTCCTGACCACCTGTGTCATTGAGGCAGAGTGTTTTTAATGTTAACTCTCTAAAAACCACGACCCATTATAAGAAACACATTTTATATGGCAACCCGGTATACAGGTACACAAAATACATGCAAAACAAAGGTTTAATAATAGTTACTTCTGCTGTGTGCAGGCCTCGTATTTTTTTCCCATCTACTTCATTTTTTAGACTGATTACAGACTTCATTCTACCATATTAAATTTTCTGCGCATGAGTATGTAGTTTGAAAGATGCCGAACTAGGGTAGGTGCCTCCCCCTGCACGTTTTGACCCCGGTAGTGAAGTGAATAGGAGGGGCGTGTGGCCAAGACTGTTTGACTCTCCAGCTGCAGGGTTAAAAAGCACTGCTCTCTTAAGAGCCGGTAGGAATTGGGGAGCACAGAAGCTACTGGAGACAGGGAGGAGAGGCAGGTGGCGCTGGGGCAGAAGCCAAATAAACACCTACCCTCTCACTGAATTTTCTTTGCGTGTCAGAGCTCTGTCAGGCACTGTGCGGGGCCTCATCTCGTCTTCCGACCTCCTGTATGGTGGAGGAGCAAACCAGCTGTCTCTACTCCCCAGAGAGGGAGCGTTTCATAATCTGACTCCAGATAACCCTCACAGGGCCCCGAGCTTGAGCTCTGGCCCCGGCCGGGCGCTGGGCTGAGCGTTCTGTCTGTGTCGTATCATTCTATCCCCACAACAGACCTAAAAGGCATTATAATCACCCCACTTTACAGGTGAGAAAACCGAGGCTGCGAAGGAGCGGTCAGGACTGGGATCTAGGTCGAAAGTTGCAAAGCCAGCTATTAATAACACCATGACGGAGACTGGTTTTTAGGCCTTTATTTTCGGGGAGGGGTAACTCACTACTACGCAGCCCCGGGATGCTCAGCCCACGGGAGATGGAGGAGCGGGTCGCGGGGGTCCACCCCGGCCAGTTCCCAGCACCTCTCTTAAGGGGATCCTCAACTTTCCCCGCTGTTCTCTACGTCTCCCAAACCCTACCCGGCGCCTTCACACCCACCCGAATGACCCCGGGCGCCGCCAGCTCTCCAGGAATTGGGAATTTCGTGACGTTCCCTGACTACGCTTCGCCGAGAGCGGGGGAGGAAATTGCTGCAAGGGGCCTTCGCGCAAGTGCGACCCGGGTCTCCGCCGCAAACGGCCAGCTCACTGGGGACCCGGGACTTCGGGAGGCGGCATGCCACCTGCGCACCAGGCGGCCCCGGCTGCCTGCCCTCCCCGTTGCCCGGCTCCGAGACTCACCACCGCCTCCGCCCCGCCCGCGGGTGGGTGGTCGCTTCCTTTCGCTCCCCGTCACTCTTTGCAGACGCTCCCCGGCGCCGGGCATGTGCGCCGCCGCCGTCGGTCCCCGGGCCGGATTCCGCGCGCGGGTGGGTGAGCGGAGGGCCCTGGCCAGCCCAGCCCCGGGCACCGGGCACCGGGAGGGTGGTGGCTGTGTACGCCCCTGCGGCCAGGCGCATCCCCCGCGGGGACCACTCGCCGCCGCCGACCCTCCCGCCCGCGGGACAAAGGGTGGGGGCGGCGCATCCCCACGCATGACCTTCCCCCGCGCCCCCAGCCCCCCGCGGGCGACAGGCCGGTGCTCGCCCGCTCGAGCCCGGGGGTTACCCGTGGGCAGGGAGGTCCACCCGTGGCTGGGATCACCACCCTGCGCCTGGAAGTTGGGGCACTCTCTCCCAGGCCGGTGACCTGCGTCGAGACCCTGTCGGCCTACTTCGGCCAGGAGAACCCTGCTCCGTCGACCCCACGGGTCCTTCTTCCAGCCCCCAACTCCCTAGAGCCTAGGAGTTTGCAACCCCAGGTGTCCTAAGTCAGCCCCGCCTCCGTCAGGCCCAAGCAGCCCTCCCCACCTCGAGCGCCCCAGGTCCCCCGGAATGCCCCCCAGAAGCCCATCTGTGTTCCTCCATCTGTGGCTGCCCCTTTTGTCCAGTGGCCCTGAGGCGCTCAGCTGCCGGGGTCTGCAGAAGGCCGCACCATGAACAGCCGGAGGAGGCCAGGTGAGGAACCCACCCCCGCTCCACCCACCCCAGCCCTGCCCTTTCCTCCCTGGCTGGGGGCTGGTCCGAGGCCCTGGAACCTCCTTTGGGTGAGCCTAGCCTCTCTCCTCCAGTGAAGAAAGACAGCGAGGCCTTGGAGATTTCCATCCCGTTCGATGAGACGCCCCACCTGGACCCGCAGATCTTTTACAGCCTGAGCCCCTCTCGGGGGAACTTCGAGGGTGAGTGGACTGGCGGGGGACTGAGTCCCGTGGGGGACCAGCCGGGGTCCTTGAGGCCTGGGGTGTGACCAGGGCCGACTGCCTCTAGAGCCGGCGGAGGCTGCTTCCCCGACAGTGGCCCTGATGAATGGCGTCCGGGCCCAGCTGCACCTGGCCCTGGAGAGGAACTCCTGGCTGCAGAAGCGCATTGAGGACCTGGAGGAGGAGCGGGACTTCCTGAGGTGCCAGCTGGACAAGTTCATTTCCTCTGCGCGACTGGATGCAGGTGAGGGCATCTCCCGCCCCCAACCAGGGCACCAAGCTCCACCCTCCTCAGGGACACCGTGCCTTCGCATTCACGCTCCCCCTTTGGTGGCTCTCTGTGGGCTCCAAGCCCAGCCTCCTTCCTGCCTGAGTCCTTCTGTTGATGGGCAGGACTGTGGCCTGCTTGTTTGGGTCCTGGGCACTGCCCCGACCCCTCCCCATGGGGGCTTTCCTGGCCCGCATCTTTAGCAGTGGCCTGGAGGATCCAGCCTTTTCTTTCCCTCGCTGGTGGTCAACCCCTGGCTGGCTCCCTCGAAAGCTTCCACTTCCCTCTCTGGGAAGTCAACTGAGAGTCAGGGCGAGGGCCCTGTGGTTTTTCTCAACACCTACCTCACTGGGGACCCCTGTGCTCTGGTGCCACCTCTAGCCTGGGTTGCATGGGGAAACCCACACAGGATGGTCGGGAGCAGGGGCCCCTGGACTTGCTTCGTGGGAAAACCAGCAGCGGGCTCTGAACCTGCTGTTGGAGGGAGGGCCTGCATCAGAAGCTGGGCAGCTTCCCAGTCTGGGTGAGGGTGGGGGCCTGCCCTTCCCAAGGGACTAGACCCAGAGATTACCTGTCTTGGTGTTTGAACCCCACACCCCCACCGAGGCCTTGCCTGCCTCCACTCTTCTGGAGGCTTCACTGGGTCCCCAGAAAACTGCACTGTGAGAACCCCACAAAATCACACTCTCCTGAGGTCCCCGTGGTATTGGCCTGGTCCACTGGGCCCCTCCCCCCAGACCTCTTGCACCAAGTCTGAGCAGCCTCAGGCCACGCTCCACCCAGGACCCTCAAATTCCGGCCTAGTTTACTGTGTTCAGCTGGGCATTTCCTCCTGGGGGACCCCCTTTCCTGGGGCTCTGTGACCTGCCGCCCGCCACCTCACTGTCCTGTTCTCGCAGTTCATGCGTGTGCGTGTCTTCCCGCCTCTCTCCAGACGACCACTGCCGGGGGAAGCCCGGGCCTCGGCGGACTGAGGGGGACGGCCGAGGGGGGACCGGGGGCGAGGCCTCAGACCCCGAGTCAGCCGCCTCCTCGCTCAGCGGGGCATCTGAAGAAGGCAGCACCGTGGAGAGGAAGAGGCAGCGGCAGAAAGGAGGCCCAGGCCGGCGGCGCTTCGGCAAGCCCAAGGCTCGGGAGAGGCAGCGGGGTGAGTTGGGGAAGCGCGGGGCTGGGGGCCTGTGTGAGCTCTCCTCTCCCTGTCCCCCCATCTGGGATCAGACCTGGCTGACTGTCCGGGCCTCCGTGGGTGGTCCTGGTTTATAGCCCACCCTCGCAGCTGCCTCTCCAGAGCCTAGGGTTCCGGGGGAGGCGGCGATGGCCCAGGAAGACTGGAAGGAATGCAGCCCTTCCCCGCCCTCGGGCCCTCCCTAGGCCTGCCTGTCTCCCCTTCTCCCACCTTCTGTAACTCACAACTAGCCTCCTGGTCTTCCTGCTTCCCCTTTCTCCCTCAACACCCCCCGCCCCCCACCCCGTCTCTGTACCCCCAACACTCTGCAGTGAAGGATGCGGACGGGGTGCTCTGCCGCTACAAGAAGATCCTGGGCACCTTCCAGAAGCTGAAGAGCATGTCGCGGGCTTTCGAACACCACCGAGTGGACCGCAACACAGTGGCACTGACCACGCCCATCGCGGAGCTGCTCATCGTGGCCCCGGAGAAGCTGGCCGAGGTGGGCGAGTTTGACCCCTCCAAGGAGCGCCTGCTTGAGTACTCGCGCCGCTGCTTCCTGGCTCTGGACGAGGAGACCCTCAAAAAGGTGCAAGCCCTCAAGAAGAGCAAGCTGCTGCTTCCCATCACGTACCGCTTCAAGCGGTGATCCCACCCCACCCGGCCCGGCGCCCGCCCTCCGGCCCCTGCTTCCCTTGCCCGGCGCGCGGGGCCGGCGTGTGCACGGGTGGTGGGCCCCCACAGGGCGGCTCGTTTCCGCGCGGACCGCCACCCCCTCCCAAGACCCCCTGTATATAGGCCTGTCCTCTGGGCCTCTCACAGCCCTAGCGTCCACCCTGCCCTCCGCCTTCCCTGGGTTGGGGGCGGTCCTCGCTTAGTCACGCTTCCAAGAGGATCACCATCCAGGGCCCGGTTCTGTCTTCCCTGACCACTGGCAACCCCGCACCTGAGCGGCACCGTCTTGCCCTCACTGGGCCCTCCCTCCTGGGAAGACTGCGGGAACCTGCGGGGCTAGGCCACTGTACATACCCCGCCCGCACCCCAGCCCCGCCTGAGTCCACGTGAGACAGAGCTATTAAGAGAATTTAAATTAAAAAGATGATAAAATTTGGAATAAACTAGGCCCCGGCCTTTTCTGGACAGGGGGTGGTCGGTGCCGCGGGGACGGTGACGGGGGCTCTGGAGGACTCGGGAGCGCGTACCGTTTGGCGGGAGCCGAGTAACAGAGAGACAGGGTGTAATTAGCCTCCGCAAACGCAGGGGTGGGAGGCGTGGCAGCGCTGCCCTGGGGAGCTCGGGGGCGGGGCAGCGCTCCGCGGAAAGTGCAAGAGCACCACCCGCTGGGCTACTGGGACCAGAGGCGCCAAGGCAGGAGGAGGGAGTCCACGACCTCCGGCGGAGGCGGTCGGCCGGGGCAGCCGGAAACCTCCGAGCGGAGAACTCCGCCAGGAGGCGGTATCGCGAGATTATACGTCTCCCGGAAGTATCCGCTGCGTCGCTCTAGGCGCCTGCGCGGCGGGAGGGGCAAGCGCGCGTGTGCGGTTGCCACGGCAACTAGTAGAGGGGCGGCCTAGCCTAACGGTCGGGAATGCGGTGCCCTCCCCAGGGGAAAAGGGGAAGACTCGCGCATGCGCGCTGAGGGCTCTGGAAGCGGGGGTGGGGGGCCCTTCTGGAGCAGCTGAGAAACCTCGGCTCAGACCGACGTCTACGCAGGCGCAGAAGCCCATCTCGCACCCCCCACCCCCCCCGCCTTTCACCCTGCGCAGGCGCACGAAGCCGCGCTGGCAACCTCCGCAGCGGCCGCGCGCACCCTTTACCCCGCTGGCTGCTTTTGTCTCGCGCAGCCTTCTTAGGCCCTTCGTAGGGCCGGCCCTTCTTTTCCTCCCCTTTCCCCACCCGGAGAGTCAGGTGCCGAGAGCTGGGACGCTACCCTTCCCCATTTCCTCTCCCCTGACCCACCTCGCCTCCGTCCTCCCTCCCTTTTCGGTTCCCGGAGCCGGAAGGAGCCGAAGCCCTGACGGAAAAAACCGAAGCTGTCACGCGTGAGTGGGGGGGGGGGTCTTCCCGAAGTGTTGGCGGAAGGAGCCGAAGTTCTCCGAGAGGGGAGGAGGGTGCCACTGGAATCTCCGGAAGGAGCCGAAGTTTGGCAACAGCTTGATCTCTGGCTGGGTCCGAAGGCGAGCGCCGGAAACCTTCGGAAAGTGCCGAATCCGGGACGGTTAGGACTGTCAGAAGTAGCCGATTCGCTTGGACTGGCCGGCGGAGAAGAGCGGGGAGAATCAGCGCTAGCAAAGGGACGGTTTGAATATTCAGAAGTCGGATTCTTAGAGGGGGCTGGGTGCAGAGGAACGCGAGGACCTCCGAAAACATCCGAACGTGGAAGAGCTAATATCCGAAAAGTTGCGAAAACTTGGGAGAGTCCGTGAACCCCTCACTTCGGGTGTTTTCGGAAGCAGCCGTAGTCACCGCTCCGGACGCTTTCCTCTACGGTCCGGAAATAGCCGACGCGTTTCGGAGCCAGACCCTGGGGGGAGGGGCACCTCGCGGGCGCGCAGGCGGGGAGGGGCGGAGCCGGGGCGGGGCGGGGCGGGCAGCCAGGCCTTGATTAGGTAGGAGGCGGTGGAACGCCGGCGGCGGCCGGAAGTAGCCGAAGCTAGCGGCGGAAGTAGCCGAAGCGGCCGGAGCGGGCGCGCGGCAAGGCGAAGCGAAAGCTGCACAGCGCCCTACGCGGCCGCCTCAGCATGTCGGACTTCGACGAGTTCGAGCGGCAGCTCAACGAGAATAAGCAAGGTGAGAGCGCCGGAGGAGAGGGGCAGCGGGCGGGGCGGCTCTTGGCTTCCCTCCGTGTCCCCCGCCATTTTCCCCGTCGTTTTCCCCTCTTCTCAGGGCCAAGCGGCGCACCCCCCCTCCCGTCCCGCAGCGCGCGCCTCGCTCACGTGACCGCCCGGCGTGCCGCGCGCGGCGGGGAGGGGGCGGTGGGCGCGGACCCGGACGCATGCGCACCGCGCTCCGTTCCGCTTCCCGAGCGGTTCGAGTTGGAGGCGGCGCCGGCGCGGCGGGCTCGCCTGGTGTCACCTCGTGGACTTCATGCGTTTTTTAATCTGGAAAGGAGATTGTATAGATGAGTCCCGCAACTCCTCCTTTTCGCCCGACGCCCTGGCACTTCCGCTTCCGGCTGGGTCCTCGGCCTGGTTCTCCACGCCCCCTTTGTCCCAAAATGGCGGTCGTGGGTACCCCTTCACGTGGGCGCTAGCAGTGCCGCGTGGGGAGCACCTCTCGACACGGCGCCTTTGCCCCTCGTTCTGCTCACTGGCCTCCTGGTCCCCGCGGTCCTACGGGGTCGGGCACCAGCGTCGGCGCCGGTGGAAGAGACCGCAAAATCCGAGCTCCGTGGCCCTCCCGCACCCCTGCACCCCTTCTCGGGGCCCTGGCTCCCCCGGCGGTCGCAGTGCGGACTGTTTGCCTGTCATCGCTCCCCACGGCCTGCACTATCGCACCAGCCTCTTAAATCTCAGCGTGGAGCGGACACTTGGGCACTGAGCAAGGAGGGGCTTGCTTCACTTTGGAGGGTGGGAGGCGCGTCCCCCTCGGGAGACGCCGAGTCCAAGCACGAGGCCGTGATTAGTTTGGGGACCCCCCCCCCCAAGAACGTTAGCGCTGGGAGAGGTGTAGGACAGTTAGCAGGTTTCCTTGCCGCCTTAATCCGGTTTGAGAGTGAAGAAACTTAAATTTAGGGAAGGTGGCGGGCTTGAGGCTTACTCTGCTTGTGTCTGGAGCGCCGAGTGAAGGGCGCTGGGATTCCCCTTTTGGCCCACCCCGAGGTTGGGGAGGGGGTGGCTGGATCAGTAGTCTGTGCCTGGGGAAGCGCACCCACAGGGTGTCGGTCACGTACGTGGTGCACTGCTTAACAGCACGGACTTTGGAGGGGAGCAGACGCGGGTTCTAGTACCTAATGAGTTACCGAGTGGTAACTGTGGGCCTGTTTTTCCTTCGTGTAGTGGACGGCTTTTTTTTTTTTTTTTTTTTGGTTTCTAAAATGTTGGAATTAACAGATGATAGTAATAATAGTTAAGGTTTCAGCACCCACCACGTGTCACGCACATTGCTAAGCTCTTCTGCAGTTTTCCTAAGTGGATTCTTGTAACACTTCTGTGAGGCTGAAGTGATTTCCTGCCCTTCGCAGAGGAGGAAACAGGCTCAAGAATAAAAGCTTTCCCAGGTTTCAGCTAATCAGAGGCAGAGCTGAAACTCAGCGGGGCAACATGCCGACAGTATGTGGCATGTGGCTTGGCCTCCTTTAAGTGCCCAGTAAGTGATACTTTTTCAACGGTGAAATCGTTCCTGGTGTAAGGGCTCACTCAGGGACGAAGTGTGGAGGCGCATTTCCAGATGTCCTCAAGCCGTACACCTAGGGGTGCCCGCGAGCCTCATTTAAGTAAGAGGAGAAAACGGGTTTAGAGGTGTGGCTGCTGTTGCACGGTTTTGTGCAGGATAGCTGAAACGACCCCTGAGCCTGCGGGGCTGCAGAGACGCGTCCTGCCAGGCTGGACAGCCAGAGCTGATGGAGCTGCTTTGGGGCACTGACACTCGCGGTCTGGTCTCTGCCTGGGTGCTCCCTGGGGTTGGCGAGTTGTTCCCACAACGAGGTGGCCGTGGCATTTAGAGCAGCCGAGCTCCTTTCCTTTTATGATCTGTGCTGGATCATTTGTGTGTGTGTGTGTGTGTGTTTTTCTGGGGGTGGGGGCGGGGGTTACCCTTGCCTTATGGGCAGCTTTGCCCACGTGCTGCTCTGCCTGAGTCTGTCTTGGCGGTCCTGCCTCTTCCAGGCCTCAGCCCCTGAGACCTGGGTTCCGTGTCTGTGTCCATGGCACCCGGCAGGCGCCGCTGTTTCCTGTGGGACCACCTCTCTCTGCCTGTCTGTTTCTGAGCCTCAGCTGCAGGGAAGGGTCTCTGCCTGACTAAGAAGTGGGGAGCCAGAGGCCCAGAATCGTTGTCGTCCACCCCCCTTCCAGGGCCAGGACGCTCCTTACACTGCTTGCACGTCCCTCCTGGTGTCAGTCTTGGATGTATTTTTCATGTTTAGTCTTTTCATCTTTGAGGAGGCAATTCCACCATCACTCGTGGTTTTAGCCAGGCCCTAATGGGTTTGCCTGTTTCGTGTTTAGAGGTGTTGCCCATGCCTAGCTGCCCTTAAACTTTAAGGGTTCACATTCAGGCTTCACCTGTATCCAGGCTTTTTGGCCAGTGCAAGTCACATGACCTCCCTGAGCCTGTTTTCTCTTGTGAGCGAGATTCCGCCCCCCCCCCCCAAGTGTTTTCCCACAGTAACCCGAGGAGTAAAACCAGCAGAGTCTGGTTTTAGCATCTGAATGTTTGCAACGAGGTTTTTTCCTTTCCCGGGTGCGTCTGTAGCTTGTTTTCCTGTTAAAACTCATTCATAAAAGCTCATGGTAGTTGCCTCGGAAGAGCATGAGAGTTGAAGCAGTACGCGTGAGGCTTTGACAGCCTCTCCTTGTTGCCCCCGCCTCCGTAAAATGAACTGGAGTCTGAGCATAGTGGAGGAACCAGTGTCGTCTTTGAACCGAGGGACTGGGCTACAGACCGCGTGGGGCAGGAGCCGCGTGCCTCGCAGGGTGGCGGGCTGATGGGGGACGGAGGGGAGGTTGAAGGCCCGGGCTGTAGCGGCCGTGGGGCGCTGTGGACCAAGCGCCCACCCAGCTCCTGCGTCTTTGACGCCCGGGGCGGTGGGCGGGGCATCCAGAAGGTCCTCGGTTGGTGGGCGGGGCCTCCCAGGAGGGCGTTCCGCTTGGTGGGTGGGGACGGGTGGGTGCCCCGCCCCCCGGGGCTGCCCGGCCCCGCCTGGCCTGACGCGGGCCTGAGGTGGGGCGCGGGCTGGCTGGTTTCGGAGGACTCTCCTGAGGGGTCGCCGGGTCCCTTCAGGAAAACATCACTGGGTCTCTTGATTCCCCAGCGTCTAGCCCTGCCCCTCTCAGGGACGACCCTGGGTCAGGCCCCTCAGCCCTGGAGGGGGACCAGGAGCCAGCCTCCTCTGTCTTCTCTGGCCCCCCAGCTCCTCCTGAGCAGACTCAGGTACCTTACGCCCCGGGGCCCTGCTAGGCCCTGTTCCCTCAGGTAACTGCTCCCGCCTGGCCCCCAGGGCCCTCGGGCTCCCTCTTGGACAGGAAGCCTGCCGCCCCGCCCTCCGCGAGCCCTTCCCCGTGGGGGTGGCCTCCCGGGCTGGGGCGCGCGGCCTCGGGGGCGGGCGGGCCGGGCTGCCCCCGCCCAGCTCACGGTCCTTTCCCCGCAGAGCGCGACAAGGAGAACCGGCACCGCAAGCGCAGCCACAGCCGCTCCCGGAGCCGGGACCGCAAGCGTCGCAGCCGGAGCCGTGACCGCCGCAACCGGGACCAGCGCAGCGCCTCCCGGGACAGGCGGCGCCGCAGGTACCAGGGCGGCAGGGCTGCGTCCGGGCCGCAGGCCCCTCTCCACGCGGGACTAGGGGCTCTGCTGTCGTGTCTGGCCGCTTTCTTCTCTCTGCGGGGCTGTTGGGGGCGAGTCTGGGGTCAGGGCCCCCCTTCCCCTGTCTGGTCTGGGTTCTCCGTCGGCTTCCCGGGCTGTGCTCTGCTTTCCCAGGGCAGGGAGGCGTCTCTCGGGACAGCTCTCTGCTCTGACGCCTCTTCCCTTCCCAGGCTGTCCCCCATTCTCTCTGTCACGAGTGGAAGGGTGGGTGGGGGGGTGCCCCGCCTCCTCCCACCTCAGCCTCTCCAGCTGGAAGGTGGTCTGTCCGGCCCTCCTTCCTTACTCGTGGCTGGGGGGCTTGGGGGCGATGCCCTGCCCCAGCCCTGGGGCTCAGTGCCCTCGGGGGGGTGCGGCGTCCGGGGGAGATGAGGGTCCCCAGTCATCCCTCCCCACACCTTTCCCTCCCACCCCCAGCAAACCTTTGACCAGAGGCGCTAAAGAGGAGCACGGTGGATTGATGTGAGCTTCTCTTCTGCCCCTTCCCCCCACGCCCTCCCCCGCCTCCCCCGCGCACCCTGCCGTGTCCTCCCCCGTCCGCCCGAGCACCGGGAAGAGTCCCCTGCCCAGAACGGGCCGGCCCTGACCGCGTCCTCTCTCTCCTGGAGAGCCAAGCCGGGGCCGAGGGGAGCCTGGGGGGCCCGCAGGCCCACCTTTGGTCAGACTGAGGTCGCCCCGCCCCACTCTCCCCTCCCACCTCCCCCAGTCGCTCCCCCCGCCACGAGAAGAAGAAGAAGGTCCGCAAATACTGGGACGTGCCGCCGCCGGGCTTCGAGCACATCACCCCCATGCAGTACAAGGCCATGCAAGGTGGGCTCCGCACCTGGCCTGGGGGCCAGGGGGAGAGGGGCGAGGCCCTCAGCCGACCCGGCTCCAGGGTGGCGGTGCCCCCACGTCCTCTGACCCTTTCTGTCCCTCTTGAAGCTGCCGGTCAGATTCCAGCCACCGCCCTCCTCCCCACCATGACCCCCGACGGTCTGGCTGTGACGCCGACGCCGGTGCCCGTGGTCGGGAGCCAGATGACCAGACAGGCCCGGCGACTCTACGTGGGCAATATCCCCTTCGGCATCACTGAGGTACTGCCCTCCCTTGCCCCCGCTGCCCCCCTGCCCCCCCTTCCTGTGCCCGCTGTTCCTCCCTCCCTCCCTCCGTTCCCTCCCCCAGCCTGCACGGGTCAGACTCTGCGCCTGCAAGGCCCACCGGCCCCCTCCCCGACGGACGATGGAGTTGAGCCAGCCAGGGGCCGGGCTGGGTGGCCCTCTCCTCCCTCCTCTTCCCTCTCCCGTCTCCCCTCCCCAGCCTCCTCCAGCTGCCCAGGGATCAAGCACACACATAAGGTACCCACGAGTCCGTGGTCCGAGTCCGTGTGGAGAGAGACAGAGAGGGAGACACGCACGCACACACACGCAGACGCACGCCCCAGCCTCTCTGACACGCCTCTTGTTCTCTGCCGCCTCCCCGTCCTCTCCCCCACCCCTCCATGGTCGCTGCTCTGATTTTGATCGCCCTGACCTCCCCCCCCTTCCCCACCACTCCTGTCCCCTCCCCTCTCCCTACCCCTTCCCATGGCGCCCCGAGAATCCCGAGATCAAAGAGTTGTTTCCATTTCTCTTTAAAGTGAAATATTGTGGGGCTGAGATCCCTCGTAGCAACAAAAAGTTTGCTACCATCGGCGAAGGCAAGTAAGGTCCATTCTGACTTTCTCAACCTGCACTTTGCTGCATTTGATAAACCAGCCCCCGACTCCAGGACCAGATCCCTCCACATCACTCTTCTCTCCCCCCTCCCCGCCCCGCCCTGCGCCCTACCCCTCTCTCTGATCCTCCGTGTGTTCTGCCTGCTGGTGCTCCACTTCATGCCATTTCTCTCCTGCTGTCGCCACTGGATGTTTCTTCTACACTCTCCGTCTCTGTTTTCTCGCCTCTCCCTCTTGTTTCCTGCTTCTTTCTGACGACCTCCCTTTTTCCCCGGTTGGGGTCCTGTGGCTGTCCCCACACCTCTGGCCCCTGGCTGTCTCCTGTGCTGCCCTCCCCCCCCCCCGCCCCTGTTTCTTTCATCTTTCTCCTGCGTTTGTCCCCACTACTGATCTCTGCCCCCACCCGGACTCCACTGTCCCCCCTCCCCCCCACACCCCTCTGTGTCTCCCTCTCTCACCCTTCCCCTCCTCTCTCCACCTCCCCTCCCCGCCCCCCCCCTGTCTCCTCTCTCCTCTGCAGGAGGCCATGATGGATTTCTTCAACGCTCAGATGCGGCTGGGGGGGCTGACGCAGGCCCCCGGCAACCCCGTCTTGGCCGTGCAGATTAACCAGGACAAGAACTTTGCCTTCTTAGAGGTGAGCAGGCCTTGTTCCCACCGGGCCCTTCTGCAGTCTGCTTGCCACCCAGCTGTGGTCTTGGCACCCTTGGGTGGGCTCTGACAGGCCCCTCACCACCTCCTTTCCTGTCTTTTCCTTCAGTTCCGCTCAGTGGACGAGACCACCCAGGCCATGGCCTTCGACGGCATCATCTTCCAGGGCCAGTCACTGAAGATCCGCAGGCCTCATGACTACCAGCCCCTGCCGGGCATGTCGGAGAACCCCTCTGTCTACGTGCCTGGTGAGTGGGCTTGGGGGTGCCTGAAGGGTGTGCAGGGCCAGCCCGGGGACTCTCAGCCTGTCGGGGGCTGGGGCAGCCGAGGGTCTTGGGAGAAGTGGGATGCTCTGGGCCCTCAGGTCAGTGCAAGCGTGCTAGAGCCCACGTGGATGCCCGTGTGTCCGCTGAGCTCCGCGGGCCAGATGGGTGGCTGTCCCCTCCTTTCCAGTCTCGAGGCTTCTGCTCTCCCCTTGCTTGGAGCCGGACTCCCCGCCGTGGTTAGTGTCATCTGGGTAGGTGGGCAGCAAAGCAGGCCTGGGTGGCCAGAGTCTGCTCTCTGTTGGGCCGGAGAGTCGCTCTGCTTTGCAGCTGCGTTGTCTCTGGTGAAGCTTCTCTGTCACTCCGGCCTGAGTGTCCACAGATGCTGGTGTTGGGGGCCGTGTCACACCCACGATGTAAAAGGCCCTTCTGGAAAGCTCTCAGACCATGAAGGAGTGGCACGTGGCCGCACTGGGCCTGCAGGCTGTGCCGAAGGGTGGGCCTGTGTTCGTCCCACGCCCTGGGTGGAGAACAGTCTGTGCTGGCTGAGGTTCACACCCAAGGGTGCCTTTTGGAAGCAGTCCCTCCCCTTGTGAAGCCAGGGGTGTGGGGCGCAGTGAGGGCGGCCCCTGGGGACCACCTGGCTCCTCTGGTCTCCACTGAGAGTGTGGGGAGGCCAGCTGTCTTGGGAGCTTGTGGGAGGCCCTGGCCTGCTGCTGACTTGCCAAGTTTTCTGTGCACGTGTGTCTGGGGGGATCAGGCCACAGGATGTGCTTCCGTGCCTCCCGGTGACCCGCATGCATCCTAAGCGTCCTGACGGAGGCTGGCCCGAGCCCGCTGGGCCGGGCGCCGTCCGGGAGTGCCCTGTGGGTGTGGTGGCGCCGTGACCGTCCCGTAGTACGGGGTTAGAGCTGCCTCTGTGCTGCAGAGCCGCCCTCCACCTGCAGAGTGCCTCAGCATGGCGCGCAGGCCTGCCTGTCACCTTTCTCCTGTGGGAGCCTGGCTCTGTCACTGCGGCCGGTCTCTTCTCCTGGGATTTGCCTCCATGGAGGGGCTGGGGGTTCAGCCACAGTGACCGGGGAGCGTGCTTCCTGGGCTGTGGAGGGGGCAGGAAGCCAGATTCTGCCTGTGGTGAAGCATTCTCAAACTAGAGAAGTTTCTCTGTAATTTTGAGGGTTTTTTTTTAAACTTTATTTTTTGCTCTGCAAGTCTTTGTTGCAGGACTCTCTCTAGTTGCGATGCTTGTTGCAGTGGCTTCTCTTGTTGTGGGGCTCGAGGGCGCTCAGGCATCAGTAGTTGTGTTGTGTGGGCTTTGTTGCCCCGAAGCAAGTGGGATCTTCCAGGGCCAGGGATTAAACCCTTGTGTTCTGAGTTGGCCGGTGGATTCTTAACTACTGGACCACCAGGCAAATCTTAAACACAGTATTTTGATTTTCCTTTCTACTCCAATGAAAAAGCTGACTGTATGATTGAAGGGGAGAAAGTGAAAGTGATAGTCGCTCAGTCCTGTCTGACTCTTTGTGGCCCCGTGGACTGTAGCCTGCCAGGCTCCTCTGTCCATGGGATTCTCTCAGCATGGATACTGGAGTGGGTTGCCATTCGCTTTTGCAGAGGATTTTCTTGACCCAGGGATCGAACCCGGGCCTCCCGCATTGCAAGCAGGTTCTTGACTACTGAGCTACCTAGGAAGCCCCAGGGAGACGCATTTGATAAAATTCGACGCTTTCGGTTGGAGAAGAAACAGTTCAGGACCCTGGATGGAAGGGGGGGTGCGGCCTGAGGCTGTGCACCTGTGTGGTCCAGAGGCGTCTGCAGTGGTTGGGGCCAGGCTTGGCCCTTGGATCTGGGTGAAACTGACTGCCTTGAGAAGCTCCCGCCCTGGGCTCCGTCCGTCCTGCAGACCAGGCTGGTGCTGGGGCAGCGAGGGCTCCTGCCGAGGAGGCGGCGACACCTGGGGAGGCTTCAGAGCGGAGGGGCAGGACAGACGTGTGAGGCCAGACATGGTGCCTGTGTGGGAGAGCTGGGCAGGGCGTGGGCTCTGGGCACCCGCACGGCCCGGGGCCTCAGTCTGCATCGCATGACCTCAGGACCATGTGACCACGGCTGGGCTGTGGTGGCCAGGACGCGGCCTGTGCTCCCCTGAGCTGGGCTGCCCGGAGTCCAGCGGCCTGTCGTTCCCATCCACCCGCCCCGTCCCCCCAGGAGGAGCCTCGCTCCGGGTGGAATGCTGCTTCTCTGTGGTCCTCCGGGCCGGGTGGCCGGCTGCAGTGGGCCCTGAAGGCAGTCAGGAGCTGGCCGGCCAGGGTGCGGGCCCTGGGAGGTGGAGGACCCTGGGGGACTCGGCGGGGGGGGGCAGGGGGGGGCCTCAGCAGGGGGCATGGCCAATGGGTGCCTGGCCTATTTGAGGCCTGCTCCGCTGAGGGGCCCCCACCTGACGCAGCTCAGGGTGCTGAGGGGGTGGGCACAGCCCAGCCTCACGGACGCAGAACGCTGGGCCCAAGGTCCCACCAGGCCAGGACCAAGAGCAAGGGCGGCAGGCCCGGGGGGGCCGGGGCTCTGAGCTGGGGCCAGAGCGGGAGGGGAGGCCGTGGCCTGCGACCCTCCCTGGGGGCTAAGAGCTCCCACGGCTCGGGGCGAGCGTGGTCGCTGACCTGGCTCAGTGCACGGCTGTGCCCGCTGGTGTTGGGTTCCCTGAGGAGGGGGCTGGTGGCCAGGCGGGGGCCCCCCCGGAGACGTCCCCCAGGTCCCCATGATGACTGTGCCGGGAATTGCAACCTGTCCCCCCCGTCAGGAGTCGTGTCCACCGTGGTCCCAGACTCTGCACACAAGCTTTTCATCGGGGGCTTACCCAACTACCTGAATGATGACCAGGTAGGCCCTGGCCCTCCCCCCCCACCCCAAAAGCTGATGTGCCCCGGCCCCCCTACCCCAAAAGCTGACGGCACCTCGGCCCGCGCAGGTGAAAGAGCTGCTGACGTCGTTCGGGCCACTTAAGGCCTTCAACCTGGTCAAGGACAGTGCCACCGGGCTCTCCAAGGGCTACGCCTTCTGTGAGTACGTGGACATCAACGTCACGGACCAGGTGAGCCCGGCCCCAGGGCGCCCGACCCTGCTGCGGTTTCCCCTCAGGGCGAGGCGCGGGGCTTGCAGCTCTCCCCCTTCGCCGTGCCCTGCCCGCCCTGTAGCCCGGCTCTGACCCCGACCACCTCTCCCTGCCCCGGCCCTCCGCCCCACCACAGGCCATCGCGGGGCTGAATGGGATGCAGCTGGGAGATAAGAAGCTGCTGGTCCAGAGGGCGAGTGTGGGCGCCAAGAATGCCACGCTGGTGAGCCCCCTGGCACGTCATCTTCCATTGGCTCGGGGCACCGGGGGCGGGGAGGGGCTGGGGTGCTGGCGGGCCCCCCACTCTGGGGGCGGGCACCCCATGACCCCCGCCTCTGCTCCCCCACAGAGCACCATCAACCAGACCCCCGTGACCTTGCAAGTGCCCGGCCTGATGAGCTCGCAGGTGCAGATGGGCGGGCACCCGACGGAGGTGCTGTGCCTGATGAACATGGTGCTGCCCGAGGAGCTGCTGGACGACGAGGAGTACGAGGAGATCGTGGAGGACGTGCGCGACGAGTGTGGGAAGTACGGGCTCGTCAAGTCCATCGAGATCCCGCGGCCCGTGGACGGCGTGGAGGTGCCCGGCTGCGGGAAGGTGCGTGCTCACATGCGCACACCCCCACACACAGGTGTGCGCTGCTCTGACCCTGGCAGTGTGTGAGGCAGCGGTGCAATGCTGTGGCCGAGCTCTCGTCTGCAGCGGAGCAACTTTGCCGCAAAACCTGCTCCTGTGTGCCCCTGTGCACGTGGTCGGCTCTCCTCGGGCACAGTGCAAAAAGCTGCCCCCAGCTGCAGTCCCCGTCCCTGGGCTGGCTCCACTGATACGCTCGCTTGGGAGCCCCCAGCTCTTCCTTCCAGTTCGCTTCCTGGTTTCCAGACTCTGATTCTCGGCCCGCCGAGGCACGCTGGCTCTGCCACCGTTAGGGCGTCAGCATCTTGCCACACCCTGGGAAGCATGTGTGCCTTGTGACCCCTGGCTGCTGTCTCGTGCGTCTGCGGGGGCCTGGGGGCGGGGCGGGGCCGGGCCCCCATTTTAGCAGGAAGGGTGGCAGTGGTGAGGCCCACAGGAGGTCCTGAGCGGGCAGCACTGAGGGCACAGGGTCAGCCGGGGCGGGTGCAGGAGACCTTGGTGAGGTCTTCGCGTGGAGGCGGGGGTGGGCGTGCAGCCCTGCGGAGCTGGGACTTCCCCGGTCAGGGTGACGGCAGCTCTGCGGACAGTCTGCCGTTGTCTGGCAGGAGGACGGGGAGAAGGCGTGTCAGTGCCTGGACCCTGTGTCTGCTCTGTGCGTTTGGGGGCGGGGGTCATCACACGCTCAGACTTGGGGTGACGGGGCAGAACGGAAGCTGAGAAACAGGGAGATGAGCAGGTCAGAGGAGAAGGGGTGATGCCGGGGGCTGGGGTCCCAGCGAGGTGCTGTGGGCTCAGAGGGCTGGATGAACTTGCTTTCTGAGTGTGGGGCCCGCTGGATGGACTGGCCCTGGGGCAGAGGAGCGGCTTGCCCAGGAGGTGCCTCCATGAGGTGTTGGTGGGGAAATGGATGGGAAGACCTTACCCGGTCTCTGGGATCCGCCTGTCAGATTTGTGTCTAACCTTTATTGTCATTCTTTTCAAACATACGGTAGTAGTAGAGAAACAGTCAGGGTGGTAGTGACTGTACGAAATAATACTTAAGTCGGGTCAGAGCGCCCCATCGGCCAGCGTCAGGATGCCAGGGTCCTGACAGTCTTAATTTCCGCCTTCAGCTTCCCAGCTCCTCCTTTGTGTCTGCTGAAACAAAGCATGTCTCGTGTCACTCAAGCACTTGCTCTCCGCCTGAGCCACTGCTCTCGGGTCTGGGGTCTGTGCTGCCACCTGGGCCCATCCCGCTCCACACACTAGGAGCCGGTCGTGTCATGCACCCGGCGTGACGGTGCCCCCTGGGGACACATCCACCTTGGCTGAGAACTGCTATAAACAGGATGAAAACATTTTTATTTTAAAAAACCCACGTGATACCGTTTGTATCTCTCTACCCAGGCATGTTTGAGTTCCCTTACTGTCTCAGAGATGTTTTTTTACAGTTGTTTTGATCAAAGAAAGAACCCTGCCGGTTGGATTCAGACTCTTTTTTGGGCATGCCGTTTTTGCTTGTCGAAGCATGGCGTGTTTTCTAGAATTCTCCGTTTCCCCTTGTTCCGAATTAGACTGGTTGTGTCTGCCCTTCCTCCACTTCTGTCAGCTGCTGATTCAAGCAGGATGATAATCTTGACTAGATCAAGGTTCAGATTTTTTCTTTGGAATCAGCCTGGGTGTGAATACCAATTGCTGAGCCTTCCTTATATCATCCCTTGTCTAGGAGAGACACCATGGGGACTGGGGAGCACCCAGGGGTGCCTAGTGCAGATAGACTGCTCTCCTTGAGCCTGCCCCGTGCCCTGCCCTTTGGGCTCTTGGTTGAGCCTGCCTCTGCTCTCCACGCCCCTGTGTTCTGTCTGTCTTTGATCCTGGGGCGCTGGAGAGTGTTGGGTGAATGTCCTTGCACCTGCGGTGAGGCCGCTTTCCAGCCCTCTTCCTCCCGTGGAGTTCTGGGTTTGGGTGGGTGCTGCTGGTTGCTGAGAGGGAGCTAAGAGGCCTGGGTCTTACAAGCTGGGTCTTGTTCCTACAGATCTTCGTGGAGTTCACCTCTGTGTTTGACTGCCAGAAAGCCATGCAGGGCCTGACGGGTCGCAAGTTCGCCAACAGAGTGGTCGTCACAAAATACTGTGACCCCGACTCTTACCACCGCCGGGACTTCTGGTAGAGGCGGCGGGGGAGGGCAGGGACGGAGCAGGCTGGGGGCTTCTCCTCCCCCTCCTGCTCCCCCCATTTTCCCCCTCTGAAGACGATGGGCAAAGGAGTGACCGCCGAATGACAGCCGGCAGCAACTGGAATGGCAGCAATTAAGGGTGGGGGCGGGATGGGGATGGGGCGGGGCGGGGACTGGGGAAGTGCGCACACAGACCCACACAGACACACGCACCCACAGACACAGAGGGAAGGGCGGGGAGTGGGCGACAGCAGGGCGGGGTCGGACCCCCACAGCCCCTCCCTGAAGCAGTCTTCTCCCGGATACCCCCTTTCTCTTACCCTCCCCCACCGTAGAAACATAGCGTGTTTATATTTTATGGCCAAACTCTTTTCAATTTTGTTGTCCGGTCCGGTACCTTGCCCCTTCCCTCTCAGGACCACAGCTCCCGTCCTCCTGGCCTCTGGTCCTCGCCCCGGTGTCCTGGTTTCTTAAGTAGTTGATTCTCTCTAGTCTCCTGGACCTGCCCCCCCCCCCCCCATGGCCCCTGTCCCTCTCCTCCTCTCTGTGGCAGTTTCATATTTGCTAAGACGAATTTGCTCATTAAACATTTTGTTGTATTTTACTTTATGGAGCTGCTCCGTGTCCCGTGTGTGTGAACCCTCCGCTCTCCAGGTCTCTGGGGTTCCCGAGGCCCGGCTCTGGGAGGCCCAGCTGTCGCCCCGACGTGGGTGCCCGTGCCCGTGCCCGTGCCCTTGGAGAAGTGACACTCGCATGCGTGGCCTGCCGCGCTGGGACAGGCCGGGGCGTGGCCCCGGGGAGCAGGGGGCAGTGAACGGGGCCCAGCAGACAGCGGGGAGGGCGGTGGGCCCAAGAATTCACGTCGCCCAAGGCACCGCCGGCGGTGGCGCGTGGCCCGGGGGCCCGGAGGCCCGGAGCTTGCCCGCAGGGGTGGCCTGAAGACGATGATGCGTTCCCGACCAGACTCTCCCTGCGCATCCCCCCTGTGTCGGCTCGCGGCGGCGGGCGGAAATGAGACCAAAGGTGCCCGGCCACGGCGCCCGCGCGCCGGAAATGACGAGACCTGGGAGGGCGGGGGCTAGGAAGTGGCGATTGCGCAGACCCGCCGCAGGCAGGACGGCCGGGTGGGTCGCGGGGTCACTTCCGCTTCCGGTCCGTCGCCTTCTTCGGTTGCTTCCCGTCCGCTCCGCGGCTCCCCTCCCCCGCCCGGCTCTCCGCGCCCCTCCCGGGCGGCGGGGCGGCGGGGCCGTCGACGTGCGGCCCTCCGTGCGTCCGCGCGTGCGTCCGAGCGCGGCTCCGCGTCCGCCGCCCGAGGCCCGGAGCGCGCCCCGTGACACCGAGGCCGAGCGGGGGCAGGGGGCTGCCCGCCATGAGCCCCCGGAGCGCGGCGTGAGCGGCCCGAGGTGAGCGCGCGCGGGGCGCGGGGAGCGGGCGGGCGCGCTCGGGCAGCTCGGCGGCCTTCGCGTGTCTGCGCCCGTCCGGCCTGGACCGCCCGCGGCTCTCCGTCTCTCCGCGTCTGCCTCCCGCGGGCCCCGCCTGGGCCTCGCCGGTGCTCGTGTCCGTGTGTCTCGGCGTTTCCACAGAACGCTCGCCCCCGTGTGTCTGTCCCGGTCTTGTTGTGTTTTTCTGTCACGTCTCGGCGTTGGAGGGTCAGGACTAATGCCGGTGTCTCCCGTCTGTGCCTCTCTCGCCGCCGTCCTCCCGTCATGTTTGTCCTGGTGCTCGTCTCCTCCGGTCCAGAGTCACTCTCGGCGGGTCTGTCGCTCCGTCTGGGGTCTGGCCTTCCTCCCAGGTTCATGAGTGAGGCGTGAAGAGCCCGCCTCTGCAGTCAGAGGCCCACTTTGTGCCAGCCTGTAGTATTTATAAGCTGACCAGACAGTTCCCTAGTCTTTAAAGTAGTAGGGCAGCCGTGCCTAATAACGGAGGTGATGCTGCCCCTCGTCACTAGCTTGTCCTTAGCTGCTGGGAGCTCTGGTTCCCATTATTCCTTGTAGATTTTATGTTCCACACGGTTAAGGTTTGATATCGTTTGATATCTGAGTAACTCTTGGAGAATTTTGCCATATCATTTGTCTTTTATTTGATCTAGCAATTTTGTTTGGGTCAACCAATTGTGAAAAACCTAGTCTCCTTCTTAGCGGTACCCATGAAGTCTAAGTTTTGCTGTGTTGAGTATTTCTTCTAACGCCCTTTAGTATAAACACACTGTGTTAAAATAGCATGTCGTCTTTCGAAAATGTTTTTTTTCTGATGATGAAAATCAGCCAGGGTTACTGAGCTCCTACTATCTGTGGGTCGCGGAGTCGAGTACTTTATGTTCCCATTGTATTTAATCAACAAACCCAGCAGCTGGAAATCCTTTCCTTTGTTTCAGAGTTGAGCAAACTGAATCCCAGGGAGGTCAGAATTTGGACCCACGTTTCGTTGTTCTTTCCCCTTTTCCTCGTCTGATTTCTCCGTCCCAGCTGAGCCTCTGTTTGTTTCTGGGCCTCTGCCTTCTCTCCTTGCCTCCCTGCCTCACTCTCGTCTGGTTTCTTTATCTGTCCCTGTGTCTTTGCCCAGGTTTCTCTGTGCCGCCTTCTCTCCTGTCTCCTTCCCTTTCTCTCAGAGGCTCCTGCTCTGTGTGTCCGGCTGGGCCTGTCTCTAGCGCTGGCCGCCTCTCCAACCATTCACAGCCGTCTCCGAGTGCCTGGCTCCCCTGCGCTCTGGGCAGGGACTCAGGTGATAGGAGGTCTCCACAGGAGAGGCTGTGGGCGATGGTCAGAGCCTGCTCTGGGACCTGGCTGCCCCGGGGAGGCCCGGGCCTGGCTTCCTCCCCGTGAGGCGTCGGCGAGTCCCGCATGGCCTGTGCGGAGGAGCAGAGGCGCAGGCGTGGCCCTGGGTGTGGGCTGCAGAGAGCTTCTCGGATCCCCGTCCCCCTCTTGTTTTTTCTCCGTCGCCTTCCCCTCAGCACAGGTTGAGTTAAAAGGACCTGTTTTGGAGCCTGAGGTGGCCTGGGACGGAGTCTGCGCCGCCTGCCTAGTATGTGACCTTGGCTGGGTGCTTTAGCTCTGTGACCCATCTCCTCCGGTTAGAACCTGGCGTCTGTGTTAAATGAGATCACACGTGTCCCGTGCTCCCTGAGTGCCTGGCACACCGCCGGGGCCCAGCCACGGGGCTGCACTCCTCCTTATCCCCCCTACCTCGGGACGCTGTGTCCCCCTCCCCGGCGGGCCCCCTCCCTGTGTGCCCTCGTTTCTGCCCCCACCTGCTCTGGAGGTCTCTTCTGCCCGCCCCCCCTTCCTTCCTGCTCTGTTTACTGAGTGGCTCTTCCGGGCCAGCTCTTCTGCTGGGAAAAGCCTCGTCCGTCCAGAGCTACGTGGTTGCTGCCCCCATGGGCTCCGGGGGTGGCCTCAGCCCGAGTCAGACACGCTTAGGAAATCACGAGGACAAGCCCTGGTGTGGGGGTGGGTCAGGCTGGAGGTTCCTGCGGAGCCCAGCGGAGGACGGGAGGAAGAGCCGGGTGGCTGTCTCAGGACCCACCCATGGGGACAGCGCGTGTCCCAACCCCCGGCTTCCCTTTGGGTGTCTAGACTCTGGATCGAAGCCCCATCTTACAGAGGAGAAAACCGAGGCTCTGGAGGGGCGGGCTAGGAAGTGTTGGCTGGGGTGTGCCCCAAGGGCCCTTGGCCCCCTGCACGCTCTGCCATCCGAGCAGGGAGGTGCTGGGCACAATTGAGGAACTGAGAGACAGCGGGGTGACTCAGGCGGAGCCTTGCCTGCTGTGGCGGGACCCCCGTCCTGTGCTTTGAGGGCCAGGCGGCCGCAGGCCCCACGCCCCATTGCGAAGGTCCTCTCTCCACCCGCAGATGCGGTGACCCGCCCATAGCTGCCACGCCGCCTCCCCCCTCCGGTTGCCTGGCTCTGCTCACCCTGCGGCCCGCCCCCGCCCCCTGCCGCCATGTCGACCTCCTCACTGCGGCGCCAGGTGAAGAACATCGTCCACAACTATTCGGAGGCTGAGATCAAGGTGCGGGAGGCCACGAGCAACGACCCCTGGGGCCCGTCCAGCTCACTCATGTCTGAGATCGCCGATCTCACCTACAACGTGGTTGCCTTCTCCGAGATCATGAGCATGATCTGGAAGCGGCTCAATGACCACGGCAAGAACTGGCGGCACGTCTACAAGGTCAGTGTTGCGGGAGGGGCCCGCCGGGCATGGGGGGCAGCTGACTGGGGGACACCCGGAGGCGGGCCCAGGTTTCCCGGAGGAGCTGGAGTTCTGTGTCTTTTCAGTGATGGCAACAAACGTAACGATTTTAAGAATTTTTAGCTTTGTGATTTTTTTTTTCTCCTTGTAGAAATAAGACCATTGTTTAAGGCTGTGCTGGGCTGCGGTTGCCGCGGCGGGCTTCTCGCTGCAGTGGCTGCTTTTGTCGCGGAGCACGGGCTCGAGGACATTTAGGCTCATGCTTGTGGCGCTCAGGCTTGGTTGCTCGGCGGCATGTGGGATCTTCGTGGACCAGGGATGGAACCGTGTCTCCTGCGTTGGCAGCTAGATTCTTATCCCTTGTACCATCAGGGGAGCCCCAGGCCTTGGGAACTTTGAAGCAGCAGCAGGTTCTAGGCTGGTCCGCTCTGAAGGCCTACGTGGGTGCTCCGTGTCCACTTCCGCGTGCCCCAAGCCCAGCCCCCTCTGCGGCCCCTGTCGGCCCTGGAGTCCTCTGAGCGGGGCTCCAGGCGGGGTGGCAGCCCCGGGAGAGGGCGGCGCGGGACGGCTCTACTTTGCTGCGGTGGCGCTCACACTGCGTGTCTGATTGCCAGAACTCAGCTGCGTGACAAAGAGGGAGTTTTACTCTAAGTCATTCCTTGCTTTTAGAAAGGAAGGCAAGTTTGGGTCTTAAGGATCATTCCCCAGTAGGAGAACTGAGGTTTGTTCCTTAAAAAAAAAAAAAACCTTCCCACGTGTTTAAGTTTGGGCTGATAAAAGTGGACATGACCAGCTAGCTAATGGTGGAATTTTGAGTGGCTTGCACCGTCTGCTCTTACACACACGGCGGGGATGGCTGTCCGGGTACGCTTGCCGTTTTCCAGAACTGGGATTTCTGGGCCCGTGTTCGTGCCCCAGCCCGGTGCTGTGCACACACGCCCCCATCCAGTGCACAGACAGACGGACAGGCCCCAGGCTTTGGGGGAAGGGAACTTGGCTGCACATGGCCCTCTCCCGTTTCACTGCTGCTCTGGGGGCCTGAGGCCTGGCATCCCAAGGCGGGTCCAGGAGTGGCCGGGCTGGGGCCTGCCTCTGGAGAGTGGGTTCCTGGGCCCAGGCGCGCCGAGGAGTCCTGTCCGTGAACTTCGGCGGTTGAGGGTCTGCTGTGTGTGGGGTGGGCAGAACACGGAGGCGCTGGTCTCGTGGCCTGGAGTCCGTGCTGGCCCGGTTGCCTGGCCCAGGGAGGCTGCAGGGCCCCACAGCGCTGGCTCCCTGCCACGCCCTGCTCGGGTCACTGATCGCCTGAGTCACTTCTTGGGGAGGGACGGGGCCTGGTGACTGGGCTGTGGGTGAGGGCGGCGGAGACACTTTCTCCAAGGTTGTCCCCCGCCTTTTGGAGGCGTGCAGGTTTACAGTGGTGCCCACTAGCTGGAGCTCCGGCCGCGCCTGCTTCGAGGGAAGTGCTGTTGGCGTGGGGCCTGGGTGGGGCTGCGCTCAGGATGGGTACCCTGGCTCCCGCTGGGCGAGCTCCTGAGCCCTGCTGGCGTGTGCTGATGACCGGGACCCGTGGGGCAGCCCGCCGGCCCTCCATGTGTGCCTGGGGTGGGGATGGGTAGCTCGTCTCTCGGGGATACAGCACCTGAGGTTGTGACGGCGACTCCAGGGGCCTCGGTCACTGGTGCCTGCTTCCTGTGAGGAGGGCGAGGGGTGGCGGCTGCATGGCGCTCACACGTGTCATCCCCCTGGGGGTTAGGTCGTCCCCATGTTCACAGACTGCAGACTGCAGTTCCAAAGTGCTCAGAGCCCTGAGATGAGAGTTCTGAGGCTGGCGCCAGGGCTGCTTCTGTACTGGGCTGCGGTGGTCGGTCCGGTGTGTGGGCCGCCCGGAATGTACTGTTGGCGTCCCCCTTCCCTTGGGGACTGCTGTCATGTGTGACTGTGACCCCGGGAAGCCGCTGAACCCCGCTGAACCCCAGGGCACGGCTGGCCCGGGGTCAGGAGCCTGTGGTCCCCATGCAGGGTGAGGTGTAAACACCTCTGGGTGGGTTAGAGACTAATCTCCAGCAATCTGGTAACTGCATCGACACACCTCTGGGAGCCGTGCCAGACCTCGGCTGTGCTCCCGGGAAGGCAGTGGAGACGTGACCCGGGTGAATTCCAGTGTGGCTCGCAGCGGGGCCCCGGGGTGGCCCCCCTGCTGATGTGGCAGCCCAGGGCGGTGCAGCGGGTCTGGGAGGCCCGGGTGTCACCTGCAGACCGCCTGTGCCCTCTGCCCGAGGACCGCGGCCGGGGCCTCCCTCGCTCCTTGAGGCCTTGCCCAAGGTGTGGACTGCGGGCTGTTCCCATCTAACTTGTTGGGAAGGAGGTTTGTCCCCATGTCGTAAGATGAGAAGATCCCAAAGGCTGTTTCTTCCCCCTTCTGAGGCCGTGGTCCTCCAGTCATGCCAGGCGGGGGTGGAGTCCCTGCCTCAGACGGCACTTGCGAGGCTCTGGGTGTGCGCTGGGCACCCGAGTGTGACCTTCCAGGTCCAGCCGAGTGGTCTTTTGTCTTCGTTTTTTTGAAACGTCAGGTCTGTGGTGCTCAGAACACCTGCGTGGACTGCGGGCCCGGCCTGCCCCGGCTCTGGGTTTGCCCCCTTGGATGCTCTTAGGAGTGAGCTGGCACACTCGGTTCTTGGGGCTCGGTTCCTGCTGCCGGGGGGCTGTTCTCCAGGTCCAGCCGGGCGCACTGTGCCGCTGGGCCCCGGGTGACGAGGCGATGCCCCTGCAGGCCATGACGCTGATGGAGTACCTCATCAAGACGGGCTCGGAGCGCGTGTCACAGCAGTGCAAGGAGAACATGTACGCCGTGCAGACACTGAAGGACTTCCAGTACGTGGACCGCGATGGCAAGGACCAGGGCGTGAACGTGCGTGAGAAGGCCAGGCAGCTGGTGGCCCTGCTGCGCGACGAGGACCGGCTGCGGGAGGAGCGCGCCCATGCACTCAAAACCAAGGAGAAGCTGGCGCAGACCGCCACGGGTGAGTGGGGGTCACCCCAGGCTGGCATCGCGGCGAGACACCAGCGGACGGGTGGGGGCTTCTCTGCTGACCATGGTCAGGGTGGAGCGGTGATGCTGAGGGCCGGGGCTGCAGGGCAAGGCTGGTGCTCCCTCTGGTCTTTGCCCCCGTTTTCTCTTCAGCCTTTGTTCGCTCACCCCTGGTGCCTAGAGCAGGGTGGGGGCCAGCCGTGCAGGCTGTCCCCTCCCAGCATCCAGCCCCGGGCCCAGCCCTGGAGACTGAAACGCCGGGTTCCCTAGTGCAAGCAGTCGGGAGCTCTCTAACCCTGGAGAGGGGGAAGGAGGCCATTTATCTCCCAACCGAGAACGGGAGCTTAGGCCGCTGGCTCGGAGGTCCGAAGGGCCCTGCCCTGCACCAGCTGACTTCTGCCCAGGCCCTCCTTGCTCCAATCCTTCCTCCAGTTGGGGCCGCCTCACCGCTCCTCAGCCACGGAGCCTGCATCCCACTGGGGGCACGGGGGCGTGTCAGACCCTGTCCTCTGTGGGGTCCCATCTTCATGGGGTCTTAGTGGCTGTGTTCCCTCAGCTTCCTCCGCAGCTGTGGGCTCCGGGCCCCCGCCCGAGGCGGAGCAGGCCTGGCCGCAGAGCAGCGGGGAGGAGGAGCTGCAGCTGCAGCTGGCGCTGGCCATGAGCAAGGAGGAGGCCGATCAGGTACTGGTGCAGCCCTGTGGGGCTGCGGGTCCGAGTCTGTTCTGTTTCCATCTCCACGCCTCACTTCCGCCCCTCCCGCTCTCTCTGCGCCCCCCTCCTCTCTGGAGGATTGGCCCCACCCCAGCTTATCTCTGCTGTTCTTCACCAGGTCGGTCTGGCTCTGGCTCTGGCTCTGTCTCCCTCCTCGCCTGTTTGCATGCTCGCTCGCTCTCCCGGCCTCACGGGGCCTCGCCCCTCGCACTCTCCCTCCCCAGCCCCGCCCCCTCACTCTCCTTCCTCAGTCCCCGCCCTTCACACTCCGGCCCCGCCCCCTCTCCCCGGCCCCGCCCCCTCACGCTCTCTCTCCCCCAGCCCCCGTCCTGCGGCCCCGAGGATGACGCCCAGCTCCAGCTGGCCCTTAGTTTGAGCCGTGAGGAGCACGATAAGGTCAGAGCAGCTTCCCCGACCTCCAGGCTCCCCTAAGACCCTCCCTAGGTCCCCACCCCCGCACACCCCCGCTGCAGCTTCTGTGGGACCCCGTGTCAGACCGTGCCCCGCCCCCTCGTGTGTACCTGCTCTGGGCTGAGGGCGCCCTGCTCACCGCCTCCAGCACCCCCACCCCACGGGAGGAGACCCCTGCGTCAGGCGCCGCTGCCCCCTGGCTGTCTGCACACAGCACTCGCACTCCGCCCCCGCCCCGTCCCGCCCCCGTGTCCCTTCACATCGCACCTTTGTCCATATCCCATTTTAATTTTCAGTCGCCTTGTCTGGGTGTGGGGGTTCTGGGGCCATGCATTTGGGGGTGGGTGGGGGCTCAGTGAGAGTCCAGTCACCCAGAGTCTGACCCCTCCCCGCCTGCCGCTCCGGGTCGATCAGGAGGAGCGGATCCGCCGTGGGGATGACCTGCGGCTGCAGATGGCCATAGAGGAGAGCAAGAGAGAGACCGCGGGCCAGGAGGAGGTGAGTGTGGCCCTAGGCCAGCCTGGGCCAAAGATGACCTCAGTGTGCACACGGCTCCCTGCTCCTCGGAGGTCCCTCTGTATCCAGGGGGACCTGGCTCACCCCAGGAACAGCCTGGGATCGGTGTGTGCGTTGCTGTGCTGCCTGGAGCCCATGAACTGGGGCGGGGCAAGGGGGCCTGGGGCGGCTTTGGCCTTGGTCCCCAGGCCTTCAGGGCTGGTTGGCGTGAAAGCTCAGCCTCCTTGTGGGCCGCCTCCCTCCCCCTTCCCCTCCTGCTCTGGGAGTGTTTTTCTTTTTAGGCATGGTCTGGGGTCATCTCCACTTCTCTTCCTGTTCTGGGCAGTTCTCTGCACCCCCCGATCCCCTCTCTATTCCCCGGGGTCCCCTCCTCTTTCTGGGTACTTTTCTACTGTACCCCGGGTCCCCCTCTCGGGGTCTGGGGTCCCCTCTTCCTCGGTATTTTTCTACTCTCTCCCCCAGGGTCCCCTCTCGGGTCTGGGGTCCCCTCCTCCTTCTGAGTACTTTTCTACCCTCTTCCCCTGGGGTGCCCTCCTCTCCAGGGTCCCCTCACCCCCTGCTCTCTTTCCTCCTGCAGTCGTCCCTCATGGATCTTGCTGATGTCTTCACGGCCCCAGCTGCTGCTCCTGCCACTGATCCCTGGGGGGCCCCTGTGTCCGTGGCTGCCGCCCTCCCCACGGCTGCCACCACCTCGGACCCTTGGGGGGGACCTCCTGTCCCTCAGGCTGCTGATCCTTGGGGGGGTCCAGCCCCTACACCGGCCTCTGGGGACCCCTGGAGGCCTGCTGCCCCTGCAGGGCCCCCAGCTGACCCTTGGGGGGGGACCCAGGTCCCTGCGGCTGGAGAAGGACCAGCACCCGACCCTTGGGGGGGCTCTGATGGTGAGACCCTCTGCCTGTGGTGTGCAGCCCTGGGGGTGGGGGACTGGTAGCTGTGGGGCTGGAGGTGGCCCCAGGGATCAGGGAATGGGGGCTAGGTGGGAGGGGCCGGGCCCGCTGCCGCAGGTTGCCTGGCTTAGGGGGCAGAGGGGAGTGCCAGTGCCTCACATGCCTCCTCCTGCCCCAGGTGGGGCCCCAGTTAGCGGAACCCCGGCCTCTGATCCCTGGGCCCCGGCCCCGGCCTTCTCAGACCCCTGGGGGGGGTCCCCTGCCAAGCCCAGCACCAATGGCACTGCAGGTACTGGAGGGGGACTGGGGGGGGGGAGGGGCAGACCCCTGGGTGTGTGAGGGGTCTGGTCTCCTGGGTCCTGGGGAAGCTGAGTGCCATCTTGACCCCCGCACAGTGGTCGGGGGCTTTGACACGGAGGCCGACGAGTTCTCTGACTTCGACCGCCTGCGCACAGCCCTGCCGGCTTCTGGGAGCAGCACAGGTGAGCCCCCACCCCGCCTGCGCTGGGCGGCCCTATGCTCTCTCGCCCGTCCGTCTGTGTTCAGAGACGAGCACGTGTCTTTTGATGTAATGGCAGGTTTTGAGGGAAAAGCTGCAAAGGTGGTGCGGGGCGTCCCCTCTTCAGCTCCCCAGGTGCTGCCGGGCCTGTGAGCCTGGCAGGGCGCCCCGTGTCCCCAGGGCCCCTCCGCAGGCCACGTACCCCTCCTCACCTGCCTGCTGGGGTTTCGGCTCAGGAAGGGCGTGGTGCCCGCCGGCCTGGCAGCGCGCCCCGCTCCTGGGAGACCCCTGTGCTCTGTCCACGTCCGAGCGATGCTCTCTTCGTGGAGGCAGCAGGCCGGGGTCTCGTCTTCCAGCCTCTCTGCAGCTGCTTTTGTGCCTTTTCCCCAGCATAGCTGGGGTTCTGGTATCTTTAAAAAAACAAAACCAGGCCCCGTGAAGGGTACTTGGTCCACCTGCCCCCGCCACGTGTATGTCAGCCTTGGAGGAGCTATCCCCGCCGCTGGGCCTGCCCCCTCCGTGCCCCTGAGGTGGAGGCCTGGCCCCTGGACCACGGCCTGCTGCGGGTGGCTCGGGGCCCCTCTCCCAGGCCCTGCGTCTTGGGGTCTCCCCCTGAGCCCCTCTGCGGTCCCTTCAGGGGAGCTGGAGCTGCTCGCAGGAGAGGTGCCTGCCCGCAGCCCCGGCGCCTTCGACATGAGCGGGGTCGGGGGCTCTCTGGCTGAGGCTGTGGGGAGCCCCCCACCCGCGGCCGCCCCGACGCCCACGCCGCCCACGCGCAAGACACCCGAGTCTTTCCTGGGCCCCAACGCCGCGCTGGTGGACCTGGACTCACTGGTGAGCCGGCCGGGCCCAGCAGCGCCCGGGGCCAAGGCCTCCAACCCTTTCCTGCCGAGCGGTGAGTGTGGCTGCCGGGGCGGGGGGCGCGGGGGCGGCGGGCAGACCCCTGACTGCCGCGCCCTCCTCCCCGCAGGAGCCCCGGCCACTGGCCCCTCCGTTACCAACCCCTTCCAGCCTGCGCCCCCCGCGACGCTCACCCTGAACCAGCTCCGGATCAGCCCTGTGCCCCCGGTTGCGGGAGCACCGCCCACGTACATCTCTCCCCTCGGCGGGGGCCCTGGCCTGCCCCCCATGATGCCCCCGGGACCCCCGGCCCCCAACACTAACCCCTTCCTCCTATAATCCAGGGCGGGAGGGGCCTCCCCCATTCTGCTCCCTGGGAGACCAGTGTTGTGAGTGCATGTGAATTGGGGGACCCTGCCCCCCCCAGCACCCTTCCCCCTCCTGGGGCCCACTCACACTACAGCCTCTTCCTGTGTCCCCCGCCCGCCTCCCTGAGAGAAACTGGACGCGGCTGGGGAGGGTGCTGGCCGGAGGAGGACCCTTCCCACGGCATTAGAAGGGGGAGGGGCAGCGGGGGGCCCCGCCCGTTCCCCTCCCCCAGCTCCTGACTGGCCCTCAATCAGTGTTTGAGCCGCCTCCCCTCACGCACCCCTCGGTGAATCCTCGGTGATGATTTTGGCAACTTCGGGAATAAATGGCAATTCTCACGGGCACGGAGCCCCCGTCCCACTCATGGGTCCTGCGGCCCCTTCCCCTGGGGGCCCGGGGCTCGCAGTCCATCTGACTCTTGGGGGGTAGGGGGAGCCTCGGTTTCCCTGACTCCGGGTGCTGTGGAGGTTCTGTGTCGGGGGTGAGAGGGGGCTCCGTGGGTGGTGGGGCTGTGGCCCCCTGGCCGTCTGGAGAGCTGAGCAGGCTGGAGGTGGGGCATGGATGGTGCTGAGAATGGGGCTGGGCTCGTGGGTTGTTGGTGAGCACTCAGTGTGCGCACGCACACCCGCTGCCTGGGGCTCGGGGCCGTGGGTCAGGGGATCTGCAGGCCTCCGGGGTTCCCAGAAAGAACACCTGGGTGACTGGGCTTTGTGGGGATCCCGCCACACTCGAGGGGCCAGGTCCCACCGTGGGGTGCACCTGCAGCCGTTCTCTCAACTGGCTTTGGCTCGGGGGCCTTGGGCGACCCATGGGCCGGGTGCCCCGATATCAGCTGGCCCGCGTCCTTTCCCAGGAGGTGCCCGCGCTCCAGGCGAGGGCAGGGCACACCTCCAGGGTGCATGGTGGCCTGCCCGGGCTGCCCCGCTGGACACCCCCTCCAAGGTCTGGGGGTCTGGCAGGTCCTCGACCCTAGAGCTATCTCTGTGCACCCTGGTGCCGGGACGGATAGAAGAGGGGCCACCTCGCTGCCCCAGGGAGGGTGGAGACGACCCAGGGAACTTGCTCTGGCCGGTTGAGGTTGGCCGGAGGCGTTCTGCAGGGAGCTGGGTGGGGTTCCGGTGAGTATAGTCTGGTGGGACATGCTTCCTGTCCCAGGGCCCCCACATCCTCAGCACGGCCCACATTCATCTGCCCTTCCCCGCACCCCCCCACATGCCCTCAACCCCCCACACGGAGCCCCTTGGCCCCCTCGAACCCCGATGGTAGGACAAAGGTAGGCGTCCCAGAGGCTTTTCACCAAAGCCGCGTTCCTTTTGCCGACTTGTTGCCTATGAGCGTGTCTTGCTTGTTCTCTGCTGTTATCTAGTCGTGTCTGACCCTTTGCAACCCCACAGGCTGTAGCCACCAGGCTCTCTGGCCATGGGATTCTCATCCAGGCAAGGATACTGGGGTGGGTTGCCATGCCTTTCTCCAGGCTATCTTCCTGACCCAGGGATCGAACCTGCATCTCTTGCGTCGCCTGCGTTTGCAGACGGATTCTTTACCGCTGAGCCAGCGGGGAGGCCCCCTGGGCTAATTCTTTTATTTCTTCCACCTTATTTTACTTTTGTTTGAACACTTAAGAGTTTCCGTGAGTACTACTTAACATGTGTTCCTTAAAATACAGTTTGAACTGATGCTTTCCAGCGCAGGAAACTGTAGAGAGGATCACCCCGACCCCGGACTCCTGTCTCTGCTCAACCGTTGTCCAACATCCCCCAGATCTAGTTTCTTCTAAGCCCCCCTCGCAGCACCTCCCCTAGAGAATTTTGGAGATTGCACTGGCTAGGAACGGTTTGGTGTTAGTTTGTATGTGGTGGGGGCTACCTACAGACTTCCCTGTAGCTCAGGTAAAAATCTGCCTGCGATGCACGAGGCCAGGGTTTGATCTCTGGGTGGGGAAGATCCTCTGGAGAAGGGAATGGCAACCCACTCCAGTGTTCTTGCCTGGAGAATCCCATAGACAGAGTGGCCTGGCGGGCTACAGTCCAGGCGGTTGCAAAGAGTTGGACACAACTGAGTGACTTAACACACAACACACACTCGACAGCAGTTAACCCCACGTTGTCAAAGGGGATGAACAAAGGGGAAGAACTTCATGACGCCACAGCCAGAATCACTTCTCTGTTGCCTCCTGGAATGTTCCCACTGACCACCTCAAATCTTCCCTCCTCCCCTTCAATTGCACAGGCAAACTTAAGACTTACCAGGTGGTAAAGTTGTAAAGAATCCACCTGCTGGTGCAGTAGACACCAGAGACGAAGAACTCCTTGGGTCGGGAAGGTCCCCTGGAAAAGGAAATGGCAACCCCTCCAGTATACTTGCCTGGAGAATCCCATGGGCAGAGGAGCCTGGCGGGCTGCAGTCCATGGGGTCACAAAGAGTTGGACACGACTGAGTGACTGAGCACACACAACATACAACTTCAATCATTATAAAGACAAAAAATGATTGTTTAAAAATGTGAATCAAGCTAGGTGCTAAAAATGGATGGATGTGATTGGAGCTCCAGTCAGACCCCCTTTAGCTGTAGCATGCCACACAGCCCTGCCTGCAGCTGCAGACCAACTTGTGGGTCTCTAAAGAACTGCCCCCCATGGGCAGCAGCAACCTGACAAACTGCAGACCGGTGGAAAATACTTGCCAGTCTGACACTGAAAAGGACTCAGTATTCAGAAGGTATAAAATACAACCCCCAAACGAACAATAAAACCAACCCCATACAAAAATGTGCAAGGACTTGAAAAAGGACATTTCTCCAAAGACATACAAACAGCCAGCAAATATCTGAAAAGGTGCTCGGCATCAGCCATTGGGGAAGAGCTGTTGAAAACCACAGATACCACCTCACACCTGCTAGGGTGGGTACATTGAAGAAATAGGAAATGGCAAATACTGGAGAAAATATGGAGAAACTGGAATGCTTGTGCATTGCTGGTAGGAATAGGAAATGGAGCAATAGCTGTGGAAACATCTGGTGATTTCTCTAAAGGTTACACACACAGATGCCCAGGACACAGCCATGTCTGCCAGGTGTACATGAAACAGCTCACACACCCATGTTCACATGGACACTATTCACAACAGCCAGCAGACTAGACGGCACAAGTGTCCGTCAGTGACTGAACAGGTTGATGAAACACGTGTATGTAGAATGGACTAGATTTCAGCCATAAAATGTGGAAGTTTGGCATCTGCCACAAGGTAGAACGACCTTGAGAACATTATGCTTAGGGAGACAAGGCATATACAGAAGGACAAACAGCATTATGACTCCGCGTATATGAAGTGCCTGGAACAAGCAGATCCCTAGAGACAGAGCAGAACAGAGAGTCTGGGCTGAGTAGAGAGAAGGGCCAGTGATTGTTTTAATGATACCAAGCGTTTAGGTAGTGGTGATGGCTACCCGCATTGTGTTGATTGCCACTACATTATACACTTGAGGATGGTTAAAGTTGTAAGTATGATGTTAGGCATGTTTAATAAGTATAAAAATGGGTAAGTGGTAGATGATAACTAAATACAGCAATCATGGATGGTACAGAAACACTCATATACATTTAACCTTGGACAGCAAGGAGATCAAACCAGTCAGTCCTAAAGGAGATCAGTCCTGAATATTCACTGGAAGGGCTGATGCTGAAGCTCCAATACTTTGGCCACCTGATGCTAAGACCTGACTCATTAGAAAAGACCCTGATGCTGGGAAAGATTGAAGGTAGGAGGACAAGTGGATGACAGAGGATGAGATGGTTGGATGGCATCACCAACTCAATGGACATGGGTTTGAGCAGACTCCAGGAGATAGTGAAAGGCAAGGAAGGCTGGCATGCTGCAGTGCATCGGGTCTTAAAGAGACAGAGTTAACACTTAGCGACTGAACAACAACAGCAAACCTTTCAACAGTGATTTCAACAACTCATGAGCAGAACTGAGGCGATCCCGAGTCCCTAAGGATCAAGAGGAAGGGGCTAAATGTGGGGAAACAAAGCCAGAATAAGAGTGGCCTGCATCAACCACAGACAAGACTCCAGAAGAACAGTGGTGTAAAAATTGAAAATGGAATTCAGTATGTAAAAGTTGACAAAGGTGACCACCAGCATCAGGATGGTGTGGGCAGCTCTGGTCTCCGGGGGTATCTGTGGTGTCCAGTGCAGGTGTGGATGTACTGCACCCTCTGGTGGTGTCTGAGCAGGAGAAGCACCATGGAGCCACTGGACCAAACCATGAGGGTAAGAAACACGGCATCAGAGACGGACCACAGGAGGACAGTGGCTGCATTGGGACTTGATGAACAGAACCACTTCCCTTGATTGTCAGTATCATTTCCTGTGTCCTGTGGGCCAGTGACTGTCACAGGAACAAAGATACTCATTAAGAGACTGAATACTCAGCAGGTGCAGCAGGAAGGACCAGTGACCCTGGGGGCCCTTCCTCTGGGCATCACCCACTCCGCTCTCCTGGGGGTGAGTGTGAAGGCCTGATAGGTGCTCAGGACGCGGGTGGAGCACAGGGCAGTGCTGCGAGCCACTCTCTGTACATAATACAAAAACTTACACCCAAGGCCGGACAGGGGCTTCCTCAAAACAAAAACTGCCATTGTGTGGGGAATGCCAGGGGAGAGAAGAACCAGGAGGTTGGCCAGGGCCAAGTGTGTGAGAATTGCATCTGTGTCTCCTTTTCTGGTCAAGCAAGACCGGAGAGATGCTGTGGAAAGAAGGGATGGCATTACCCAGAGCCCCAGCCACCACCTGTAACAGAAAGATGGCTTTCACAGCCGCCTCCCCTGGGCTTCTCAGGACATCTCTGTGAAAAGACATGCAGAGCATGTCAGAGTGGCCTGGAGTGGGGCTGAGCTGGTGATGACATCAGCAGTCTTCTCACAGAACCAATACTGGAGAAGAATTCTTGGTCTTTTCCTCTCCTGAGAA